AACATTCTCGGTAAAACATATCTTTCGTAGCTACTCTCAAATGAAATTGTGCATCTCTTTTGGGTCGATCCAAATGTCACTTCATGCTACTAAAACACATGGATGTTGGATTCTGGCAGAGTAGAGCCATTGAGGTTAAACACCAGAGCAGGTAAGGTGAAGACAATAGGAGCTCTAGTCTGTGTCGCAGGCGCGCTAACCACTATCTTCTACCAAGGAAAATCGTTCCACATCAACCATCAACGCTCTCGCTCTCATACTAAGATCATTCCATCTAATTGGACGAGAGGCACACTTATGCTGGTCGGAAGCTGCCTTTCGTACGGTATCTGGTTCATGGTACAGGTATGCCGAGCAAGTCCCCACTTTTTGCAAATAACATTCATGAAATTAAGGATATGGTCCCTCGACCATAATGCTTGTGGACATTGCTTTCTTGAACAGGTTAAGCTGATGAGAGTCTTCCCGTTGAAGTATTGGTCCACAATGTTGACATGCATCATCGCATCCTGGCAAGCAACGGTTGTAGGCTTATGTATCAATCGTAGCAGTAAGTCGTGGAGTCTGGGATGGAATCTGCAGCTGATCACCATTGTCTACTCGGTAAGGTTATTTCTTATCCACATGTTATACCGCGATTACTTATATCGTTTTGCGTTAGTCCTCAATCCGTTGAAGTGGCATCTAACCCATCATGAGCGGAAAACTTCCATCAATTGCATAATTAAGAGCTTCCGTCGTCCTGTCCTTTGATAGAGATTAGTGAGTTTTAAGCAATTGCAAGCATTTCACAAATGTTTTCATAAAAAACATTTGACATGTGATGCTGCGGAAGATGTACAAGTCTTTTTGGATTAGGAAACTCTCCTCAGTGACGATTACAAAGTAATTTTTTAGGCTTGTGAAATGTGCTTAATTTTCCACCATAAGCATACCTGGTCGAATGGTTGATAATCCGTACTTAACAATGGCTACAAGTCTGTAACTGTGAAACTCTTGAGGTGCCAACAACATTCTATTTCAGCAATCGTATCATAAGTCAATGTTTGTGTGGATACATTGATGAACGTTACAATTTCATGACTAGTGAGCGAAACTAGCTACTTCACCCAGGGAGCATTGGCGACCGCTGCGACTTTCTGCTTAATCTCTTGGGTGGTTGCAAAGCGAGGCCCTACCTATCCTTCGATGTTCAACCCCTTGACTCTGATCTTCGTTACTGTGCTAGAAGCGCTCGTACTTGGCGAGGCAATCCACCTCGGAAGGTACGATGAATCTCATAATCCTAAGTCCTTTCTTTGGCTTCTTAATTTTCATTAGCTACTAAGGTTCAATTCAAAAATTTTCAGAAATTTTACTGAATATGAACCCCAATTCATTGCTATATTGCAGTTTAGTGGGAACCATACTGATCCTAGTAGGAATATACTCCTTCTTAAGTGGAAAAAGGAAGGAGTTGATAATGAATCCGCAACCTCCGGTCAATATCATTTTGCCTATGGATGTCGAGGCAATGGTTACTGAACCCACAGCGATCCCGCCGCCAAAAGCGACAATCGTCTTGCTATGTGATTCACCAGAGCAATAGATTTCATACAGCAACAATGAAATCTGGGTAATCAGGAATGGTCATGATGCGGCTTCTGTGCAGTGGCACAGTATATACAAGCAGATTTTGGCTCTTTAGTGTTTCGGTCTTTGGAGCAATTATAGCATGCAAAATTGATCTCGCAGTCAAAAGTATTCTCTAATCAAATTTGAGAATAAACACAGCTCAATCTTCATGTTTGTATGATTAAAATATGGATTTTTTACTTAATTCACCGACAGTGTAACATGTATTGTGAACATTTTGTATGCTTATAGACTGTTTTCGTCATATAGAGAGATTAGCTGTCATAACCTAATAATATGGATTTTCACATAATTCTCTTCCAGTTAACCGACGTTAATCATACCTATCATCTATGTAAAAAATTCTTATCTAATCAGCTTTAAAATGGAAATATCTACCTATATTTGTATCGAACACCGTCTCAATATGACTATTGATTTTATATTTTTTTATTTGCTTGCTTTGAAATGTTGATTGCACACTCTGTGCATGTACAAAAGAAACTTTTTGCTTGCGTGATAGTTGTTTTTTGTACCTAACAGAAGTTCTCTTAGAATTTCCACCTTGTGCATGCATGCACATTTATAGAAGGAAAATTTTCCAAAATATCCTAATCCTATTGTATAGCGGCCAATTCAGTCTTAACCTTTTTATTGTGCCAATTCAGTTCTAAACCTTTTGACAACTTGTCAATTTAGTCATGAACATTTTAATTATGCCAGTTTAGTCCTAAACATATTATACTGCGGCCAATTCTGTCTTTCTTTTGAGCAAGTCTTTTCGTTTGGGTGACCTTATGGTCAATAAGTTGTCGGGTCATTCTTTTGTGGGAGAAGAATACTAGAAGTGCCAAAACTTGTGTACGGCGCTCACTTTAGTGCCAAAAGTTTTCGTTGGCTCACTTAAGTGCCAAATTAGAGGAAAAACGATTACTTAACTGCCAACGGCGAGAAATTCCAGCCAAATTAATACGTGGCTTTTATAATTAAAATTTTAATCTGAGTTGGAATTTTTTTTAAAAAAATCAGTCTATGTGGCATTTCCATGTGGATATTTCGATTTTTTAAATATTTTTTTCTGATTTTTTTTCTTTTCTTTCTTCTTCTTCTACCTTCGGTCACCGCCTGGCCTCGCCCGGACGAGGCCGCTGTCGCTTGCCACAGGCGAGGCCCAGCCGACCCTCGCCTGGGCGAGGGCGAGCCCCGGCGAGGCCGGCCGTCGCCGAGGCCATGGCTGGGCGAGGCTCGGCCTCGCCGGGCATCATCCCAATGACGGCGAGGCCGGCCTCGCCTGTGGCGAGCGACAGCTGCCTCGTCCGGGCAAGGCCAAGCGGTCGGCCGTGGCCGGTGGCTGGCCTCCGGTCACCGGCAGTGACCAAAGGTAGAAAAAGAAGAAAGAAAAGAAAAAAAGAAAAGAAGAAAAAAAATCATAAAAATAATTAAAAAATCCAAGTGTACATGCTAAACTACGTCGTTTTGATGTCTACATGCTAATTAAGCCTTCGGCAAGCCACATCAGTTTCAGAAATTAATAAAAAAAATGCCACGTCGGATTTTCAGCCAAACTGACCGGAGTTGTCACTGAAGTGATCGTTTTTCAAAAATTTTGGCACTAAAGTGAGCCAAAAGAAACTTTTGACATTAAAGTGAGCGCCGTATACAAGTTTTGGCACTTCTGCTGTTCTTCTCCCTTCTTTTTTTATAGTTTATTTCTTGGTGGCGCTGCTAGCCTGGCCGGCAGGTCACGAAAAAAGTTTTCTCAAGGTACGAGCAGCCAAAAGGGGAAAAAACATATGAAAAATGAGTAAATAAAAGAAGGGTACTCGAGAAAATACCCTGGAAGAAGCTGCAGTATCAAAAATCAGCTGTTTATATCCCTTCCCATCGGCTTCATGTAGCGGCAAGAACGTACAATATTGGAAACACGAGGGTCCACAACATCGCAAAGAAACATTGAAAGTCGTCGTTCGTAACATTTACAACTGTAGTGTACTTATGAACTAGGGGAGGAGACCTAGGATGGAGAAAACAATGAATGACTTGTTGCCAAGAATCCTAGGCAAGTTGCTGAAAAGAAAGAAAAACGACTTGTAGAGACTCTCGGAGCACAAGGGCCTCATTCTCCGTACACGTGTCCATATAGGCAGATCCACGCTGTTTGCGAAGAAATTAAGTTACACCGATAGTATTTGAAAACTGCAAGAACACCAAGTCAGATAGGAATCTCATATTTTGTTTAGCATGTCTCGACCATCATGTCCAGATCTTGATCTACATATTCGCTTAACATTTGACTTTTGGAAAGTGTAGTTATCAGTATTATTATCATGTGCGCATGCGACATGATATACTTGAGCTGGACTAGGATAGTTTATATTTTTTCATATAGACTTATTAGGATAGTTTATATATTTTCATTAAATAAAAATCAAATAAAAGGTGTCATATAGATTGAATATAGTTTTAGTTGCACGTCATATATTACACGTCATTTAGTGAGTCATATGCCTCAGGGTTAATACTTCGATAATCACGTCAGGTATATTAATAATTCGTTTTCTTGGCCATGAAATTATTCACCCTCAAGCTAGATCCCTAATCCTTCGCCAGTCAAGTTAGTATGAATTGCCTATTTTGGTGCCTCAAACCTCGCAGCACTTATTGATTATTCTGATCGACTTGCCGAAGAATTAACGCATTCTTTTTTCATACGTGAAACGATCAAAATTTTCTAATGTTTTATTTTTCTGTTCTCTCAAGAGTCTTTCATGAAGTCGTCCAAATATTTGTAATCTAATAGGAGTGTTTCTAACTGGTCTTCATGGTCTTTTTCTAATCAAAGCGATCCCCGGGGGACGGAGATACCATTTTCAGGATTTGGCGCTCTTTTAATTTCTCTCTGTTCTGCTTATGTCTATAAGAGCCCATGTACCCGGCTCATCATCTCATAAACTTTCAACTTCTTTTCTTATGCCCCTTCTGTCCTTAGAACAGTCAGTATTGTGGAGCACAAGAACTGTTTTTCTGCGTCCCGAGTGAAGAGGGCCATACAAGTGTCTTGAGTTGGAGAGTTTTCAAGTGGCGGGCAAGTCAAAAGAGCCAAGTAATTGCAATAACAAGGATGAATGCATCAAGTATATAGGGCAAAAGAAAAAGAAAGAATACTCAATATTCTCTGAAACCCATGAATTCCCTTGTCGTCAAAATGCATTTGAACCCACTAATGCACTTCCCTCTTGTCCTAACTCATTGACCCCTTATATATCCATGTATTTGTGTGTCTGTTGTATTCTTTGAATCATGCAGTTCTTATAAATGCAGGAGTCTGTGCGCAACCATTTTCATTGCCTTTAGATGCCCATATAGTAATCTTGGACTAGAGAGAGATGGCGATGATAGGGTTCGGGAAATGTTACGAGTCGTCAAAAGCTCTGGTGAGTATGTTGCTGGTGCAAGCACTCGTGACCGGGTTGCAACTGCTTTCCAAGGTCATCTTGAACGACGGGACCTTCATTTTAGCTATCTTGGCTTATCGTCACGTGGTTGGTGCGATTTGCGTTGCCCCATTAGCTCTCTACTTCGAAAGGTTCGATGCAGATTTTGATTCTCCTTGTTCTGAGTTCTCTCTTCCCTTTCTTGGGCATATGTTCTTCATTTTCACCTTTTCTTTTTGAGCTTTTGAGCTATTAAAAAGGGGTAAAAATTGTATGAACTAGAGTACAAAGAATGACTCTTAAAAAGGGTATGTCTTCATTGCAGACGTAACACAACAAAGCTAAGCTTGAAGGTGGGGTTTTGGCTCTTCATTAACGCGTTAACCGGGTGAGACGGCTCTTCTCTCTTCTCTCTTTTCTTCATTTTTTTCCTTTTTAATGCATCTTCTTACCAGGCTATTTGTTTGCCATTTATGAACATTTGTGCTTTTTTCAGGGAGACGTCTATCGTATGCACTCGACTAACATCAAAATGCATCTATGTACCGTGTAATTTTTTGAGATTTTTGAGTGATCGATGTCCCGATAAGTTTAGAAAATATGATTCTTGAGGGTTGTAATCTGAAACAGCTTGGAAATGTGTTCTTCTGCATTGGAATGAACATCGAGTTTGATAGCAAAAAATGTATGTCATATACTATATTCATAGACGATACAATAGATTATGTAAATGTGAATATATTTAATAATTTCCATCTTTATAGCTTTTCATATTCTTATAGCAAGTTCTGCACAAGTCCTCCTGATGATTCAAAATCAAATATCTGAAAAATTAGAGCCACGATGACCTCGGACGATTATGTCTCTGTTTTATCACAATTAAGATGTAAACTAAGTCTACAAAAAGATATACATAACACCATAAAGATTTGGCTTTTTCTTTATCACATTGTAAACAGTTTTTGGAAAAAAAGAAAAAAAGGTTTTCCTTATTGTTGTATCACTCATGATGTCGCAGAGTATCATTGACTATGGGACTATACTACTACGGTCTCCGGGATACAACCGCAACATATGCTACCAACTTCTTGAACGTAACCCCGATTGTCACCTTCATCTTTTCCGTCATTCTAAGGTATACGATATTCGGATAAAGTTTCAGGTATACATGGGCGCACTCAGATTTTGTTTATGAATCTTACGTTCCATTAGTTTGATAGAAACATTCTCGGTAAAACATATCTTTCGTAGACTCTTAAATGAAATTGAGCATTTCTTTTGGGTCGATCCAAATGTCGCTTCACGCTACTAAAACACATGGATGTTGTTATGGCAGAGTAGAGTCATTGAGGTTAAACACCAGAGCAGGTAAAGTGAAGACAGTAGGAGCAATAGTCTGTGTCGCTGGTGCACTAACCATTATCTTCTACCAAGGAAAATCGTTCCACATCAACCATCAACGCTCTCGCTCTCATACTAAGATCATTCCATCTAATTGGACGAGAGGCACACTTATGCTGGTCGGAAGCTGCCTATCGTACGGTATCTGGTTCATAGTACAGGTATGCCGAGTAAGTCCCCACTTTTTGCAAATAACATTCATGAAATTAAGGATATGGTCCATCGATCATAATGCTTGTGGACATTGCTTTCTTGAACAGGCTAAGGTGATTAAAGTCTTCCCGTTAAAGTATTGGTCCACGATGTTGACATGCATCATCGCGTCCGGACAAGCAACGATCGTAGGCTTATGTATAAATCATAGCAGGAAGTCGTGGAGTCTGGGATGGAATCTGCAGCTGATCACCATTGTCTACTCGGTAAGGTTATTTCTTATCCACAAGTTATACAGCGATTACTTAAATCGTTTTGCATCGGTCCTCGATTTGTTGAAGTGGCATCTAACCAATCATGAGCAGAAAAGTTCCATCAATTGCATAATCAAGAGCTTCCATCGTCCTGTCCTTTGATAGAGATTAGTGTGTTTTAAACAATTGCAAGCATTTCACAAATCTTTTCGTAACAAACATTTAACATGTGATGCTGCGGAAGATGCACAAGTCTTTTTGGAATAGAAAACTTTCCTCGGTGACAATTACAAAGTAATTTTTAAACTTGTGAAATAGGCTTAATTTTCCATCCTAAGCATACATGGTCGAATGGTCTATAATCCATACTTAGGAATCGCTACGAGTCTCTAACTGTGAAATTCTTGAGGTGCCAACAACTTTCTATGTCAGCAATCGTATCAGAGGGCAATGTTTGTGTGGATACATTGATGAACGTTACAATTTCATGACTAATGAGCGAGACTAGCTACTTCACGCAGGGAGCATTGGCGACGGCTGCAACTTTCTGCTTAATCTCTTGGGTGATTACAAAGCGAGGCCCTACCTATCCTTCAATGTTCTACCCCTTGACTCTGATCTTCGTTACTGTGCTAGAAGCGCTCATACTCGGCGAGGCAATCCACCTCGGAACGTACGACGAATCTAGTGATCCTAAGTCCTTTTTTTTGCCTTCGTAATTTTCATAAGCCACTGAGGTTTGATTCTAAATTTTCGGAACTTTTACTGAGTGTGTTGCAGCTTAGTGGGAACTATTCTGATCCTAGTGGAAATATACTCCTTCTTAAGTGGAAAAAGGAAGGAGTTGTTGATGAATCCGCAACCTCCGGTCAATAACGTTGCGCCTATGGATGTCGAGGCAATGGTTACTGAACCCACAGCAATCCTGCCGCCAAAAGCGACAATCGTCTTGCTGAGCGATTCACCAGAGCAATAGGTTTCATACAGCAACAATGCAATCTGGGTAATCAGGAATGATCCTAATGCGGCTTCTGTGCAGTGGCACAATATATACAAGCAAATTTAGGCTCTGTAGTGTTTCACAGTTTGGAGCAATTACAGCATGCAAAATTGATCTCACAGTCAAGAGTATTTTCTAATCAAATTTGAGAATAGACACAGCTCCATTTTTATGTTTGTATGATTAAAATATGGATTTTTACTTTATTCACCGACAGTGTAACATGTATTGTGAACATTTTGTATGCTTATAGATTGCTTTTGTAACAGGTGTGCTTATTAATCATAGCGATCATCTATGCAAAAAATTCTTATCTGATCACCTTTAAAATGGAAATATCTACCTATATTTGTATCAAACACGGTCTCAACATGACAGCATCATGATCGAACTAAAATGTGTCGGTGCTTCGATTAGTTAGGTTTATCAGAATGCATCTTTTCAGATATGTTCAAAGGTCATCGTGAAAGGGGAGGAGCAAATGGAACTCCTCATTCTAGGACAAAAGATAGCTCGGACAGCCTACCAAATTTTGCTGATGTGCTAAGATTAAGAGCAGTTTTGAACTTCATTAGACTCTGTTCGAAAGCCCACAAAAAGAAAAAAACTAAGTAGGATTTCATCTGGCTAAAAGCAATGTTTTCGAAAGTAATTCGATTTAATTTTAAGTATTGGCCGTTTGCCCATCCTTTTCGTTTCAATTGTCTATGATTCCAAAAGTAAGTCAAGAACGCAAGTCGCTCTTACATACCATCCGTGGACTGTGGAGTAGGTCGTAGCTTAGAAGGCAAAATCAATGTCCAGCTGAAAAACATGCCTTAGTTTCTGTAAACATTTAGAGGTTGCTATCGAATTTCTTTGGTATGGTTTAGGTGAATGAGGACTTCATGAGAGTTATTGCTGACCACTGCAAAGATGCCTACTGCTCTTCGTCTCAGTTCTTCTTCGTTTTCCCTTAGTTGCCGGAGAGCCGCCGTCCCCCGCCGCCGCATTCGCCGCTCTCGGCGGCCGCGCCCGATGGCCGCCCCTGTTTTCGGACGCCGTTGCTGAACAAATTCATCTCTCTCTCTCTGGTCTCTGCAAATTGTCTGCAACTAGAGAGAGAGAAACGGTGAAGAAGGCGAAGAGGAGGAGGAGAGACGGTGGGAGAAAGGTGTGTGTGTGTGTGTTTGAAGAGAAAAAAACCTGAAACCCGACCCGGTCCAGACCGGCCCGACCTGGCCCTTGGGGTGTATGCTGAACAAGGTCTTGGGCCGGGTTTGGACGGGCCAAGCACAACCCTATTGTTTTCGGGTCGGGTATCATGAAAGCCCGACCCGACCCGACCCATTGACACCCCTACCTACTGGTACTAGACCGTGTGTCTTTGTCGATTTCATGTTTGTAACTTCGGAGGTTACTTTGGTTTTTGAACTATCGATACGCGCGGAAGCATAGTACAATTTGGTCAAGCAGCGCGTAGAATCAGCACAAGAAAAACCCTTCTTCTGACACTTGGGACCAACGACTTTGGATCGAATCTTTCCAAAATTTGTGATGGGGATGTTTGATAATTTGCTTGAACAGACCTTCGTTTGTCGTCAGAATGCATTTGAACCCACCAAACGCACTTCCCTAATCTGCGGTAAATTCTCTCATGCTCTAACTCATTGACCGGTACATATATTGGATGGGCTTCTCTTTGGTATTCTTCGAACACGTGGATATTATAAATGCAAGAGTGTGTGCGCAGCCCTTTTATATTGCCTTTAGATGACCATCTAGTAACCTTTGACTAGAGAGAGATCGAGGGAGAGAGAGATGCTGACGATGGAGTTCGAGAAATGTTATGAGTCGTCAAAAGCTGTGGTGAGTATGCTGCTGGTGCAAGCGTTCGCTACCGGATTGCAAGTTCTTTGTAAGGTCATTTTAAATGATGGGACCTTCGTTTTCGCTCTCATGGCTTATCGTCACGCGGTCGGGGCGAGGTTTGTGTTGCCCCCTTCTCTCTCGACTTGGAAAGATTCGATTCTGATCTCAATCTTTGATTCTCCTCGATCTGAGTTCTCACCCCCACCCCTTTCTTGGGCATATGTTCTTCATCTTCGCATCGTATGAACCAGGGTGAAAGAATCTCTAAAAAATGGTGCGTCACCATTGCAGAGGCAACACAACAAAGCTAAGATTGAAGGTGTGGATTTGGCTCTTCATTAGCGCATTGACCGGTTGAGATGGCTCTTCTTTCTTTTCCTTAAATTCTGTCTTTTTCCTCTCCAACGCATCCTCTTGCCTCTATTTTTAAACAAGTGTATTTTTTTTGGGTGAAATGTACTATATGCAATTGACTAAGATCACAATGCATCATATGTAGCATAGTTTTTTTTTCATATACTTTTGGGTGATTGATATTCACTTAGTTTGGAAAATCTGATTCATGAGAATTGCAATCTAAAAGGGCTTGGAAATGTACTCTTATGCACAATGAACATCTGAGTTTTATGGCAAAAAATGTATAGTGTATAGAATATTGATAGATGATACAGAGATTATGTAAATTGTTAATTAATTTAACAATTTGCATCTTTATAGCTTTGCATTTTTGTATAGCATGTTCTGATTCAAAATCAGTCAAATTTGAAAATCTAGAACCACAGTGACCTCGGACTAATTTTTCTCATCCCATCACAATTAAGATGTAAATTGAGTCTATGAAAAGAAAAATACCACAGTACAAAGATTTCAACTTTTTCTTTATCGCTTTCTAAACAGATTTTGAAAAGAAATAGAGATTTCTAATTGTTGCATCACTCATAATGTCGTAGAATATCATTGTCTATGGGGCTGTACTACTACGGTCTCCGAGATACAACAGCAACATACGCTACCAACTTCTTGAACACGATCCCGGTCGTCACCTTCGTCTTTTGCATCATTCTAAGGTATAATGACATGCAAACGTTTCAGGTACATATAAGTAATGGGCATACTTGGATTTTATTTCTAAATGATATGTTCCGTTGCTGCCATAGAAACGTTCTCGGTAAAAAGCAACTTGAGTAGCTACTCTCGAATGGAATTGCGCCTTTCTTTCGTGGTCGATCCCAATGTCGCTTGATGCTACTAAAAGGCATGGATTTTGGACCGTGGCAGAGTGGAGTCATTGAGGTTAAACACCAGGGCAGGAAAAGTGAAGACAGCAGGAGCAATACTCTGCGTCGCTGGCGCGCTAACCACTGTATTCTACCAAGGAAAACCATTCCACGTGAATCATCAACACTCTCGCCCTCACGCGATCCCTAAGAACATTCCGTCTAATTGGACGAGAGGCGCGCTAATGCTGATCGGAAGCTGCCTATGGTATGGTGTCTGGTTCATAGTGCAGGTGTGCACACCACCTTCCTACTTTTTCTGCAAATAACCTTCATGAAATTAAGGAAATGGTCCACCGATCACAATGCCTGTGGGCATTGCTTTCCCAAACAGGCTAAGCTTATTTACATTGGTGCCAATTGAGTCCTAAACCTTTTTTTGGTGTCAATTGAGTCATAAATCTTTTATCTTTGTGCCAATTCAATCTTTCCGGTTAATTTTTGGCCGGATTTTGCTGACCTGAACGCCGGCCAGTCACCGGCGCTGACGTGAACAACTTTTAATAATATTTTAATATTTTTTTGAATTTTTTTTTCTTTATTTCTTTTCTTTTTCTTTCTCCCCTCCCTCCTTCCTCCAGTCAGTCGCCCTTGCCAGCAATGGCAAAGGCGAGCCTTGCCATGGCTGGGCGAGGCCAGATCTGGCGAGGTCAAGCCTCGCCCAGCCACCGGCTAGGCTCGAGCCCTCGCTAGAGGCCTTCGACCTCGCGGCCTCTAGCAAGGGCTAGAGCTTCGCCCATGGCCGGCGAGGCTTGACCCTCGCCAGCTCAGCGTGAGGCCGCCCTTGCGGCCATCCGACATGGCTCACCAGACCTCGCCGAACTAGCGACCGACTGGAGGAAGGAGGGAGGGGAGGAAGAAAAAAAAAAGAAAAATAAATAAATATTCAAAAAAATATTAAAATATTATTAAAGTTGTCCACATTAGCGCCGGTGACCGGCCGTCGGCCAACTGGCGTCTACGTCAGCAAAATTCGGTCAAAATTAGTTGGAAGGACCAAATTAGCACAAAAACAAAAGGTTTAGGACTCAATTTGAACAAAAAAAGGTTTAGGACAAGCAAAACCTTGATGATATTCAATTAAAGCGGAATAAATAACATCCCAATTCAATTTAAGTTTTGGAATTCCTTTAAAACCGAGAGGTTAGTGTAATTTATAAATAAAGTAATGACGCGGCAAAACTACTTGTTACGTGAGGAATCGCCATTTTTCTTTCCTTTTGTTTTCCTCATATTTGACGATTATGATCCGACACGTGATGGGTTATTTTTTCTTGGGAATAAACGTTTTTAAAGTATAACATGCAAAAGTAATTTTCGTTAGGACCGCTGGTTTTATAAAGAGATAATGTCTTGTACAATACAAGATATAACATATATTCGAAGAATTTTTATTTGGACACCGATTAAATATATAAAAAAGAAGGTTTTACACAAATCAGAATTAAATTACGTAACCGAATCTCTCACGTGTCAATCTCCCAACTCGACCTTATAGACTATTCTAAAACTTGATTAGATAATACTTTTTGGCTGCGAGATCAATTTTGCATCCTATTGCTGCTCCAATGTCTGAAACTCTAGAGAGCCTAAATTTGTTTGTACATATTGTGACACTGCACATAAGTTGCATAAGGACTATTCTAACAACCGAACTCCGTCGCTGTCCGGTGATATCTATAGCTAGTGAATCGCTTTGGCAGGTCACTTTTGGTGGCAGGATCATCTGTAGATTCATCGGCCGCTGCCTCGACAGCCATAGCCGCTACGTTATTGACCGGGGGCATGGCATTCATCCTCAACTCCTTCCTTTGTCCACTTAAGAAGGAGTACATTCCCACTACGATGAGAAAAGTTCCCACTAAACTGCAACAATAGCCATGAATTGGGGTTCATACTCAGTAGAAGTTCTGAAAATTTAGAATTAAACCTTAGCGGCTCATGAAAATCATGAAGGCGAAGAAAGGACTTGGGATCACGAGATTCGTCATACGTTCCGAGGTGGATTGCCTCGCCAAGTATGAGCGCTTCTAGCACAGTCACGAAGATCAGAGTCAAGGCGTTGAACGTCGAAGGATAGGTAGGGCCTTGCTTCGCAATCACCCAAGAGATTAAGCAAAAAGTTGCAGCTGTTGCCCCAATCTCACTAAATATATATTGTCATTGAGCTCGGACAAATGGTGGGTCGGCCTTTTCATTTATGGAATCGAATCCCTCGTACCATCAAGGTTCTGTATATTTCGTAAAAAATAAATGACTTAGAAAATATTTTCTTAAAAATAATCATCCGTATCGCTTAAAATAATTAGTCAATAGAAAATATATTCATTGTCGACAATAATTTATGTCCAAATATTTCTTTGAACGATGAAAATATTTTTCGTTCTTTCATTTTTATAACAAATTCAAGCAAACATTTTTAGAAAAATATTTTCCAAATCATTCATTTTCCGCGAAACAAACGTAACCTAAATTGAAAATGTCTAGATTTTTATGTAATGTTATTCTAAATTCGCAACCTTTTTGGGAGGGGGGCAGGGGCAACTAAAAGTAAGGAAAAAGAAGATGAATTTTCTAAATTCGCAACCTTTTTAGCTTCATTATTTTAATAAGAAACGCGTGCCCTCCAATTTGAAAATCAAAAGAGGAAATCAGGAATATGCCTAAAGGTCGAATTAAAAAAAACGCTTCGAAGCTCGAAGGAGGGATCACCAGAAATTCTCCCTTTGCCCCTTTAGTAAAGTTCATGGTCGTTCGTCCGTCGTCCTAAACGAACGTTACTTTGAGACCTCGTCCTTTTTCGTCCTGCTTTATTGCGATTACGAAGTGGGTCGTCTCGTGTTCTGATAAGCATCGAGGCAAAGCGTCGAATCTATTCATTAACTATAAGCCTATACGCAAAAGCTTTTCCTGTCTTTCGTCACCGAAAAATACACGGTAATGAACAAAACTAAAGCGTCGCGACCGGCGAAACTTGGGAGAGGGGTCGCCGCTTTCGCTTCCGATTGGTCCACGTAAGAGGGCAAAGTTAAGATAGCGACGGTTCGCCTTGCTTTTTTAATTTTCTAAACTTTGGACATATGTTTTGTTTAATTTATGCCGTACTACAGTCCCAACCCCACCCCCCCCCCCCCCCCCACCATAATGGAAAAGACACCAAATTTTCATTGGTCTAGTGGAAAGATACCATTGACTTTAGCCACACCTTTTCTTCGCGTTCACATTGTGCCACGACAGGATCTGGAGAACAAGAGCAGTGTGTTGGACCGATGCTACTCTTTGCTAATTTTTTCTACGTCTTGTCGTATCTAATTCCACTCTAGGCCACTCGATTCTACTGTGGAATTCGATCTCGATAGCGTTCGTGGCATCGTCTCGCGTGGATCACCTAACCCGCGACGGCTATATCTGGGAAGTCATGTTGAAAATACAATGGGAACGCATGCTGAGCTTCAGTTGCAGCAGTGGGAATGCTTTGACTTGTCCATTGTCGCATCGCGAATTAATATGAGTTTATGTATATCAATGATCCGAATCTTACCTAGGTACGAGTTTAGTTAGTTCAATGGCGTTTTGGGTCGGCATTCCTTGAAAGGACAGGCACGCACGAGTCATTGTGCAGAAACAAAATAAAAAAATGCGCGCTTTTAAAGTTCGAACGCAAATTTGATCATAGTTATTTTACGCGTCTATTGAGATTGTTTCCTTATTAATGCGTCGGTCATACAATCGACATAGGCAAAATTCTCCTTCGTTAGGTGCAAACAATCAATCCATGTCGGGACTTTATTAGGGTTTCACGTTGCATTCCCAAAATTGCAGCAGAGGGAGTGCTTTTGCTTTTGCTTGTCTAATATCGCATTGTGAGCTAATACGAATTTTGGATAAATGCATTGAAAATCCTAAAACTTATAACAAAAGTACAATCAAGTTCTAAAATTTTCAAAAAGTTCAATTAAGTTATAACACTCATTACGAAAGTGCAATTGAGTCCTAAAACTTTCAAAAATTGCAATCAACATCGATTATACTATCGTGTCAAGTTGTAGGACTTGGTTGCACTCTTTGAAAGTTTTATTATTCAATTGTACTTGTGACAAATTTTAGGAATTGATTACATTTTTTTAGAGTTTTATGATTCAATTGCACTTTCATGACAAGTTTTAGGACTTTCGGTGCACTTATCCCTACGAGTTTATATCAATGATCCGACTCTTGCCTAGATACGAGTTTAGCTAGTTAAGTAGCGTTATGGATCAACATTCCTTCAAAAGACAAGCACGAGCCATTATACAGAAATAAATTAGATATGCGATTTTTTAAAGTTCGAAATTAGTCATTTCACGCGTCTATGAAGATTGTTTCCTTATAAAGGCATCGGTCATACGATTGACACAGGAAAAATCCACCTTCGTTAGATGCAAACAATCAATCCATATAAAAGATCTAAAGAACAAGAGCAGTGTTTTTCTGATGGACTGATGCTCTTTGTTAATTTTTCGGTGTTGTATAGTATGTAATCCCACTTTAGACCGCTCGATTCCCGTTTGGAATTCAATCTCGATAGCGATCGTGGCATCGTCTCGCATGGATCACCTAACCCCCAATGGCTATAATCTAGGAAGCCATGTTGAAAATACAATGGGAACGCATGCTGAGCTTTAGTTGCAGCAGAGGGACTGCTTTTGGCTTGTCTATTATCGTGTCGTGAGTTAATACGCATTAGAAGTCATAAAATTCGTAACGAAAATGCAATTAAGTCATAACACTATTGAAAAGTGCAATTAAGTCATAAATATTTATTGTGAAAGTGCAGTTGAGTCCGGAAACTTTCAAAAATGCAATTATGTCGTGAAACTTATCAAATTGGTCCAATCAAATTCTTTCGTTAATTGCAATTTTTGAAAGTTTTAGGACTCGATTGCACTTTCTTGTCAAGTTGCAGGACTTGGTTACACTATCTAAAAGTTTCAGGACTAGATTATACTTTCGTGATAAATTTTAGGACATGATTGCAATTTTTAAAAGTTTCGGGATTCAATTGTACTTTCGTGACAAGTTTTAAGACTTCCAGCGTACTATCAATGATACGAAGCTTGCCTAGGTACGAGTTTACATAGTCAAATGGCATTTTGGGGTGTCGGCGCTCCTTAAAAAGACGAGCACGAGTCACTGTGTAGAAACAAATCGGATATGCCTTTTTTTTAAAGTTTGATTGCAAATTCAAAATTGTAATCATTTCACTCGTCTATTAGGTTTATTTTCCTTATTAAGGGTCCTCAAGTCATGTTTAAAATCGACATAGGCAAAATCCTCCTTCGTTAGGATGCAAACAACGACTTCGTTAGGGTTTCACATTGCATTCCCCAAAATTACAATACTAAAGCAAAGTCTCTAAAGATTCCTTTTCTCATTTTCTTTTTCCTTTTTTTTTTCTTTTGGTCGCGACCCGAATCCACGTCGGAAACCACCACCACCACCAATCGGGGCTGTGTCCTTCCTTAACGCCGTCATGGACCGCTAACGGAGGCCGCAGCAGGGCCTCCCCCCCCCCCCCGCGGCAGCGTGAAAAGAACATCGCGGGGAACACACGACGGCGCAAAATCCGTCACCGTCCGTCCGCCCGCCCGTCCACGTCACCCGGGCGTGGCGGGCCCCACACCCTCCCTCTCCCGCCGGCTGACGTGTCGCCGCGTCATTGGCCCGCCAACTCGGCAACCCTCTAATCATCCGAAGCTTCCTTAACACGGTCACTCTTTCTCCCGCTTCTGCCCCCGCGTGCGCTCTCCCCATTTTGCCCCCGAGAGCACATTACCGGGCGAGTGGCACCTTGCGTAATAAGGGCGAAGCGCAGGGGCGGACGCCCCCACGCGGAATATACGAGGCAATTTAAAACGCGGAGAGAGAGAGAGAGAGACAGATGGACAGACACAGAGAGAGAGAAGAGAGAAATTGACTTGGCAGACGAAGTAGTAATCGGCTCGCTTGCTCGCTCGCGCCCTTCAGCTCCTTCGTCTTCTTTCGCTTTCTCCGCGCTTTCCTCCGGGCGGGGGGGCGATCTCCCTCTAAAGCCATGGGCCGTGTCAGCGACACCGCCCTCTGAGCATCCCCTCGATTCTCCTCCGTCGTTTTCGTAGGGGGTTTCCCCGGAGGAATTTATATAGAGGGGGTTTTCTTCCTCTGTTCCCCCCCCCCCCCCCGCTCGCTCTCTGTTCGGCTTCCTTTGCGGTGTCGCTGGTTTGTCGGGGGCTCTGGCGATGGCGGTCTTGCCTCTCGATTCTCTCCCGCTGGGGTTCAGGTTCCGACCCACCGACCAGGAGCTGGTCGATCACTACCTGCGGCTGAAGATCAATGGGCGGGACAGGGAGGTGAGGGTGATCAGAGAAATCGACGTCTGCAGAGTGGAGCCCTGGGACTTGCCCGGTAAATTTTTATCTTTTTTGCCTTTTTCGCGTGTTTCGTGTTCATCTCGTGTTCTGGGGATGCCGTTGAACTTGATCGTTTCTTGGGTTTCGCTTGATTTTGCGTCGCTCGTGCTGTTTGATTTTTCGCCTCTTCTTTCATTTTGGCTTGTGCGCGCGTTTTCTGCTGCATTTGTTGTTTTGACGAGTGATTGTGGGGGTTCTCTGTTCTTTCGCCTGTTGCGTAGTCAACGAGTGGGGTTCGCGGTTCTCCTTGATTTTTCTAAAAATGCTTTCTTTCTGATGTGAGAACGAAACTTGTGCTTGATTTCGCGTTCTGGATGGAATGGATTCGTCTCCTGCGTAGTCAAAATGATTTCTTTAGTGGTGGAGTAGCTATGATCAATCGATGATTGTTTCGAAAAATGCTCTCTTTGACATGTTGGTTCACAAAAGTAATCTGTTCATGTTTCGTGATGGTGGTGTAGGTTTTTCGGCTATACAGACAAAGGATCCAGAATGGTTCTTCTTCTGTCCGAGGGACAGGAAGTACCCGAATGGGCATCGGCTTAACCGCGCAACAAGAGCTGGTTACTGGAAAGCGACGGGGAAGGACCGGAAGATAAAATTGGGAGGAAATTTGATTGGGATGAAGAAGACTCTGGTCTTTTACACCGGCCGTGCTCCCAGGGGGAGCAGGACCTTTTGGGTGATGCATGAATACCGAACAACTTTAGAAGAGCTGGATGGTAATCATCCCGGACAGGTTAGATTGACTGCCTCTTCAATTTTGGATCTTGATCTTCATTTGGGTTTCATTGTACCGTGTGTGTTCACTCAGGATTCTGTTTGGGCCTCAAACTGATATTATCTTGTTTGCATTCTTTTTCGTGAGTGAAAGGACTTGACCGATTTTCTCTTCTTTCTTTTTTTTTTTCCTTTTTAAGAGAAAACTGGTTTATTCAAAAGGCGGCGATTTGATAACTTTGCCCCCACTGATCTCAAGAATGGTCTCGATATTGACAAACGCCTCCAATTGCATTTACGCAATGGCGTGTGACTGCACACGAATTGAGAAATGATACGGATTCTGTAGCTTTGTATGTGTAGTGATTTTAGTAGTGTTACCCAAAATGAAGTAGCATTTATATTGTAGATTCCTCTGTTAGTTTGTTTAGTCATGGTCTTCTCCTCCTCTGCAGGTTCATGTGCAACACTTTGTATGTTAAACTCATGCAGAGTTAGTAAGTTCTTGCAGGAGGATTGTTCATTTTAAAATAAACATGCATTGTCATTGGCAGATAATTCTACACTTATCTGCTACCGCGCTATAATGTGAACCCATTAACCAGTTACATGTATTAGTTTGACCCTTCTAGGTAAGATAAAATATGTGTAGTAGCAGTCATTGTTGCTTAATTCAGTTCTGTAAAGAAAGAATAGTTGATATCTCCTTTTTGTGACCTCTATCATTCTAAACGAGAATTTTGTGGGCCTCAAAATAAATCAATGCAAAAAGCGTGCTATTCGAAAAATAAATAAGCAAATTTTAAACTCCCGATTTTGTCGTATACTTCCTTATCTGATTGGCATCTATTGCAGGGTGCATTTGTTCTGTGCCGTCTGTTCAGGAAGCAAGATGAGACTCTTGAGGGCTCAACTTGTGATGCTGCAGAACCAGCAGTTACTTCTCCAGCAGCCAGATCTTCACCTGATGATACTGAGTCAGAGTTAGTGATAGCTCAAGATGGACCATCTGTTGCGACACACGATGAACCGCCAGATGAAGATCATGATTCAGAACAACACCAGTGTGTGCATTTAAAGAATAATGTGGTGAGAATGCAACTAAATATCACTCATGGTGCTGTTGTCTCACTTTTGTAATGCTTAGTTTCTTCATTAATGCTCCTGCTTCAGGTGGATTTGCCACAAGGCAGTGATTTGAACTTGCTTGGAGATCCAACGATGGAGCTTTCTCTCCCACCATTACCGTGGCCGGTGAAAGAAGAGCTGGAAACTCCCTACATGCCTGAGGTTACGAATGATATTAGCATTAACGAAACTGGTTCGCGGCTTCAGACTGACAAGGAAATATCCGACTTCTTGGACTCGATATTCAATGCCGACTATGACGGCTCTTGTGATGGGAGTGGTCAGCGTAATTTGGATTTTGGCAGCGGGCCTGTAGGCGAGGACAATTTGTTATACAATGAACTACTTAACGAAGCGACTGAAAGACAGGTGATCTTGTGAAGTTGAACTTTCTCTTTTCCCTAAGAATACCTCAGAATTTAAATTCTGTCCACCTTGTCCTTTGAATGCTTCTGGTCACAATGTGACTTTACGAGTGCCTTTCTATTAAATGTTTGTTTGCCAAGCAGGCGATAGTTTTAACATTTTCTGTATGTCTAATCTTTTCCATTTTTTGTATACTGCAGATTGGATCTCAATTAGAGTGGGATAAAGCAAACGTTTATGGGAGAGACGCGTTACAAATGGGAATGGCTCCTGGAAACTTCCAAATGGGGGTCCCTGAGTCTAATGTTGGTCAGGACTATATTGTAGAAGCTTCAATGCTTGGAGTCTCTTATGGGGAAGAACTAATTTTTCAATCTGATGCGAATCCAAATAGCATTCACCTTCAAGGCCCGGGCACTAGTTCAACCGCTTTTCAGAGCGGTGACACTTCTGGAACTGGAATCAGGATAAGGCCTCGTTCTTCACAAAATTTGCAACCTCAGTTTGATTATGGAAAACAAGGTTCCGCACCAAGAAGGTTACGTATACAGTGTAAACTTCAAATTGGTCCAGTAAGCTGCAGTAGGAAGTCGAGTGATTTTATGTCTGGTGATGAAGTTAAAAAATCCAAGTCCGTTAATGCAGAGGTAAGAAGTTCATGAGCACCAGTAGTCTTTTTGACAGAATAGTTCTCTATAGGTTGCCTTGTATTTGCTGTGTGAATCTTATCAAAGTGTTGTGCGCAGGAGGAAAAAGTTTTCAATAAGCTGGTTGGGGGTGGTGAAGATTCGGTTGGTGACGAATCTGTTAGTAGTAGTTCTAGTGAGTCCCGGAAGCTTACTCTTTCTGATATCAATGAAGAGAGTGAAGTTTCTCGAGAAGTAGTCAGTACCTTGACACCGGATGCGAGATCGAATAAGCAATATTCTAGGAGCAGATTACTAGTCTCTTCTCTGTTCACAAAGGGACCAGCTATTCGATCAGTGTGGCCACACATTAATCGGTTTAGCTTTTTGGTTTTCTTAGTTTTTTCTCTGGGTGCCATCAGTGCGTGGAGATATGTTCGCCTGTGAGGCCCTTGAGCAATCATTCCTCTGTGTGTATTGTTATAGTTGCCGTTTTTCATAAGACTAGTTAACCTCATAGGTGGAGGAGATTCAGTAGATTTCCCCTTGTCTAATATATTGTGTATTTAGGCTGATCTGATCAATGGATACTCTAATCATACGGTTTTCTATTCATTCGTCTATTCATTCAATTTATTCTGCCCTGAAGTTCTGTTTTCTGTCGATCATTTCTGCATTTTCTTAGCACTCTGCACAACATGTCAAATGGCATTTCTGCCCCCCCACGCCCGTGCATGAAGGAGGGGAAATTGTGAGAGGTTAAAAGGAAGCTCAGCTTTTATGTGAGGAAGCCATACATTTGCAGCTAGTTTAGCCCGAGGACTTTGGAAAGCACAGGAGTTCTGTCGCTTGGAGGAATCAGAAACTTGAAGAAGATAGTCTGCTGGATTTAGCTTTAGCTTTTTTGTGGGTCATGGTGATGTTATTTTGGGTTAAAAAAGTAGTCTTGGAGGTTGATTCTCAGTCCATTCCTGGTTAAGGCAACCGAGCCGCCGGATGTCGTGGCTTTCAAGCGAGGTCTATACTTATTTCGACAGTTCTCGATTGACAACAGAGATCGGTGGTTTGGTGTATGAAGCAAATGGTTAACGTGGTACGTGTAATCATAATTTGCTCTGAGAAGAGAAATGGCGTTCAACGACTCCATACTTTCTTCAAGCTCACTCGGCTACGATGCACAGGAGGAATTTGCTTTCATATATGCAGAGTGGGACACAAGTGAGAGACCCCCTTGCATTCATACATTGAACCAAAGGAATGATTCCTTAACGTGCTCAAAAAGCCATTTTGAGATTGCAAATCTCGGATCCTCGCACGAATGGACCCACCCCATACCAAACGAATATCCCTGCCCCACCTTCTGTTTCGGTCAAGAGATCCTTATCAATGACCCATGATGCATCCTCGAGTTTTCATTGATCTCCTAAAGCAAAAAAGCTTCTCGTTTTTCCCCCCCTTTTTCTTTTGGTGTATGGCCTAGCAGAAGAAGCAGCATCCCTGAAATGATGTATTCTGTGCTTATGCGCTCTTCACATATAGAGTACAGCTCTCGAATTCCTATCTATGAAGAAACAGTGGCATCCTCACAACATACAGTAGATAGAAAGCTACCTTCGCGAGTTTGTCGCTCAATCCGCGGATGATCAATTGGCGTCTCACGACTTCTCGGCATTTCAATTGTAATTTTTACTCTTAATCTAGAAGGATGTTTTTGGTTAACCCATTAATTTGATGTATGATTCAAGCGCCTATTCATAGGAGAAATCTCTAACTCGATCATGTTCATTTACGTTGACTGAATAGATATATACTCTTTGTCAATCATTCCAGTCACTAGGTTCATCAGTACCATTATCAGGAGTACCCCAGAGAAAAGAGAGGCATTAATCACTTCCCTTGTGCCTACGACAATAGGGAGAATTACCAAAAAAATTATAAATTTATTGTAATTATACTAATTCAATTCTGAACTTTATTTTTTGGCTAATTGAGTCTTAAATCGTTTGTTTTTATGCCAATCCGGTTCATTTGACCAATTTTGATTAGAAATCGCTAACGTGGATGCCAAGCACCTTACGCATCCACGCACCTTACGTGGCGCGGTCGGCTCTTACGTGAACATATTTTAATAATATTTTTTTGAATTTTTTTCTTTTTTTCCCCTTCCTTCTTTTGTTTCCCACTGTGGCCGGCAAGATTTGCCAGAGCTCACTGGCCATTAGGCAAGGGCCGCGATGCCCTCGTTGACCATAGGCGAAGGCCACCTTCGCTCGTAGTTGCGCCTCGCGATGATCTGAAGAAACCTCTAAGCCCTTGAGATTGAAGTTTCGAGTATCAACTTCGACTCTGGAACAATTGGACGACTGTCAATTTTAGGGCTTCGATTTTGATCCCCTAAGGCTCCACACGAGAATGATACTTCGGCTTGATTCAACTAAGATGAGAAATCATGAAAGAAAGGTTTGAATCGAGGACTGTCGCGAGCACTAAGGATAGATGAGAATCAAATTGCGGATATCCCACAATTTGAAGAGCCATTGCAAGGCTTCCCTCCCCCAAATCTGGGCGAGGCCGAGCAAGGGCCACGACTCTCACCGGCGGATGGTGAGGGCTTTGCGGCCCTCAACTAGTGGCCGGCAAGGCCGGCGAGCTCCAGTGACCCTTGCTGGCCACAGCTCGGTGGCCACAATGGGAAACAAACGGAGGAAGGCAAAAAAAAGATTTTTTTTTATAAATTTAATAAAAAATTGAAAAAATATTAAAATATGTCCACGTCAGTGCCAATCACACTATATAGGACGGTCGGTGTCAACGTTAGCGATTTCTGATCAAAATTAGCCGGATAGACTGAATTTACACAAAAACAAAATATTTATAATTCAATTGGCAAAAAAAAAGGTTTAAAACTAAATTGACACAATTATAATAGATTTAGAATTTTTTTGGTAATTCTCTCAAATAAAAGAGGGGCATATTAATCACTTCTCTTGTGCGCACGACAATCATACACTTGTCCTTATAATGAGCACCTCATGTACTACCAGGTTTCAATTTCTAAATCATCCCATAATAAGGCAATCATCAATTGCATAACACACCCATCGTCATCAGTGGTTGAATGTCCTAATGGAGCGGTTGAGCATGATTGTTGTTCTGATCGAATCATCTAGGTGGAAAGAGCACAAAGGTTGCTTTTACATACCTAAGCCAAGCAATCACCATATTCCATTCGTCTGGCAATGAACAAGGACCCCACAATTCTCTTTTCTTTAGAATCTCCTTAATTGATAACATAATAGACCAAAGGAATGATCAGCCGAATTAGGTTAACGTAAGTACTCTGCGACGTGCCTTTTGTTCTTGGCTGTTTTCTCTTAGTTCAACTGTTTATTGCATGCAGCAGTAAGCTAACTTAAATTAAATTTGATAAGATGGAATAGTTTAGAACCTGATGAAATGATATAGCTAACTATGCAGTTACCTCTTTTGTTGTCGAAGTGATAGACATCGTGAACGATGTAATCGACACGCACTTGTCTCAATCAAGGACTTCAACATCGATCTTATAATCTTATTAATAAGTAACTCGACAAATGAATTTAGGGGTGAGCAAAGAGAGATTGAAAACACCAATCAGAGCTTTAAGATAACCTTAAAGAACAGCAAAAGGAAGGATGATGAGTTAAAAAAGAGAGAGTTTTGCGGTCGAAGGAAAGGGAAAGGACCATGTCCATGTGCGATGTCAATTTCTCTCGTACCTCGTAGTGTTTCACACGCAAAAGCCTTGCAGTATTATTAGGGTCCCTATGCTTCACCCGTCCCAATTAGGGTTATAACTTTGAGAAACTACTAAAAAAAATTCGTTTACTATTCAGGTAATGATGCTATTATATTCTATCTACTTTTCATAATTGTACTAACATTAGTGTAGAATAACTTCTCCAGGTCATCACTCATCAGGGTGAAAGTTTCACACAAATCAGTTTACAAAGTATGTTATTTGAAACTTTTAAGTGGTAGACATTATTAAGATATGTGATTTAAAGCAGAGTTATTGATTTTTTTTGGGCCATTGTATGTATGATACGTGTTAACACAGTATACGTGTGCGGCCCTCTGCTCGTCAAATTACACGCGTCTTTTTTTATTCCGGGTTGCACATAAGAGGAGATGTTAAGATATCGACATTGCTAATCTACGGAGTATATATATGTGTGTGTGGGGTCTCTTTTTGCTTATAAATTTAAATTTTTAGGTTGAACATTCTAATAATACGTATCATTTTTCTTGTTACCAGTATATCTCGGTTTGATGATAATTCATTTATTTATTTTTATAAAAAAAATTAGTGTGTGGTGATACTCCCCATCAACTTCGAGCAAGTTGTGTCTTCGGGTCACATAGGAGTCGGATTTCTCTCAATAAATTCGTGTCGTGTTCCTTTCTCATGTCAAGAATTGATGCTTCAGATCAATTTACATTCTAGTTTAACCCTGGACTTTCTCATAAGTTCTTGAAGAGTATTCTCTCGCCTGCATGACACTCCACCCCTTTGGCCTTTTGTCATGAAAAATCAACCGGTCGGTGGTTGATTGAAGTTTCATCCTCTTGATGTCTCAAAAGCCGAAAAAGAAAAATAAAACAAATTCTCCAGCTCTCTCTCTCTCTCTCTCTCTCTCTCTCTCTCTCTCTCTTCCTCTGTTAATCTGCAAGCCCTGATCCCCTGGTACTTCTCCCTACCATGAAGACTGAGAAAAACCAATATTAAACTAAAGAATGCATTGCATGTGGTCTCTTTTGAGATCAGAGACTCGCTTTTTTATTAACCCTAAAACAAGACTGCCCATACACTTTGGCACTTTTTCTCATCAGTCCTGCAATAAAAAGATCGCTCACAGCTTTACTTCTAAATATTCTCACCCCTCCTCTCCTTTCCAATTCCCTGCCTTTGCTTTTTGTCCTCCCCCTCCTCTTTCTTGAAACTTTGCCCCTTTTGCTGTTATCAACTAAGCTAGCTCTTGTTGACTGAGAGACACAAAAAGAAGATGGGGGAAGAGGCCAAACAGGTAATGTGGGATTTTGAATATGGCCCTTTTGTTTTTGATTTTGAATGGATAAACTAGATGTAGTTTTCATCGGTATGTTTTCTGACTCTTTTTTTCGGCATTTTTCATGATATAGGAAGAGGTTAAGGCAGAGGCCAAGCCAGAGGAGAAGAAGGAAGAGCGACCGCAGCCACCCTCTCCGGTCATCTTGTATGTTGACCTGCATTGTGTTGGGTGTTCCAAGAAAATAGAGAAGTGCATCATGAAAATAAGAGGTACATACTTCTCTCTTAACTAAGGCCCCCACAATCACAATCCTGAGCGCGCGAAATTATTAGACAGACGAATTCTACGACCGATGTGGTAAATGCCATTTACATTAACCACTAAGAAATTTCAGTAATGGTGTGCGCGGCATGATAATGATTTGTAGGCGTGGAAGGAGTGGTGATCGATATGGCTCAAAACCAAGTGACATTGAAAGGCATAGTCGATCCTCAAGCGGTTTGCAACATGATCATGAAGAGAACCAAGCGGAGAGTCAAAGTTATATCTCCTTTATTACCTGCGGCCGAAGGTGAAGCAGCAGCTCCACAAGTTGTCAGTTCACAGGTCTCAGCCCCCTCATTCACGTTGACCTTGTTTTAGTACTTTTATACTGTCAAATTTAATCTGGTTATGCTAATTATGTCAATTGTAGAGAGCGATTTATATATATGTCTAATATGGACTATGTTCTTCGCTGATTCAGGTTAGTGGACCGACGACTGTGGAGCTGAATGTGAACATGCATTGCGAGGCCTGTGCCGAGCAACTTAAAAGAAAGATCCTGAAAATGAGAGGTATTAAACCCTAAAAAAGAGAGATGCGTTGCATGCACACGATGTATATATTGTTCCCTTTGTCTTGTAATTAACTGCATCACATTGCTCTAATATAGATTTCATGGACAAAATCAATCATAGCAAAGAAACCACAGTGGACCCTATCTTGTTTTTGACAAAAGAAAAGGCTACCTTTACATACATACTCCTTTGGACGGGATTCTTAAAGTACATTTTTCTTTTACTATTGAAATTGATTTATAATTTTTGTGACGCTTACAGGAGTTCAAACAGCTGTGACGGAACTTAGTGCTGGGAAGGTCACGGTGACGGGAACCATGGATGCCGAAAAGCTCGTTGACTATGTCTACAGAAGGACCAGAAAGCACGCCCAAATAGTTCCTCAACCCGAACCCGAGCCCGAACAGAAAGAGGAGAAGAAGGAAGCTGAGAAGCCGGCAGAGGAACTGAAACCGGAGGAAAAGAAAGAAGAGAATGGTGAGCAGAAAAGTGAGGATAAGCCAGAAGTAAAGAAAAAAAAAGAAGAAGAAAATAAGAGTGAAGAGAAAGGTAAGGAAGAGGAGGACAAGAAGGAAGGAGAAGAAGAAGCAATGGTGAATCATATCACTGTGGATGAAGAGGGTATGAAGAGAATGATGTATTACTATCAGCCGCTCTATGTCATTGAGAGACTCCCACCTCCTCAGCTTTTCAGTGATGAGAACCCCAATGCTTGTTGTATCTCCTAGTCTTTGTCAATGTCAAAAAAAGGGTTTCAACATCAATAAAGTAATTAATCATCGTCTGTATCTCGATTTAATGTTAGTATATATAAGGATTTTCAATATATTATCTTGACGATTTATGGGTAATTCATGATCGGGCGGGCAGGCGAAATGTTATCCAAAAGTATTCGTTAAATTGTAATGCGCATCGATGAAATTTAGAAAGCTGCTACTTCATAAAATTGGTATAATAACTAATGTGTGGTGAACTATGTTTGGAGTTTTAAATAAGTGAATCATATTCAAATGTTCAACATACGTTAGTCAAGTCATTTTGTCTACAAATTTTATAAATCCCTAATAGTATTTTTAGTATCATTCAGTGCATTATCAAATTTGTATCAACTGCTAGCCAGATTTTTTCCTCCGTTTTCCTATGCTAGTTCAACTGATCGCATCTTGTTGGGCATGGGCAATTTTCTAGGTTTTGTGCAGGAGAAGGGATGAATATTGCACCTTTATAGCAATCATCCACGGAATGTATTGGTTTCAGTACTTTTAGGACATGAAAGTTTAAGACAAATGGCGCATCTAAAATAGAATGTACATTCGTCAATCGACCTTACATCTGTTACGTACTAAATTTTTTGCACAGACCATTTATACTACATAAATTCCATAAATCGGTCTAATTTATGAAAAAGAAAATTGTTACATGCGTAAATTCTTCAGGAGATCCATGTTATCGACATATGTGATGAATCCATTGAAATCACTAAATGATGATTATGTCTGGACTCAAAAGCAAAAAATAAAAAAACCTATCCTATGGTTCAAATGAGGATAATATCGCGATTTAGGTAAGGGAAAATTCCAAATAAACCTAAAGTGTCCTAATTTTATCAAAAGAGGCCCCAAAGTTAATCCTATTTCAAATAAGGACTTGAAGCAACCACATCAATCTCAAATATGGGTGTAACCTCGCCGGCCGACCAAATCTTCCAACTGGTCAAAGGCATTTTCGTCCCAAGATATTTTTTTTGAATTTTTCTTTACTCTCTTCTTCTTCTTTCTTCTCTCTGCCTCTTCTTCGTCATCTCTCTCTCTCTCTCTCTCTCTCTCTCTCTCTCTCTCTCTCTCTCTCTCTCTCTCTCTCTCTCTCTCTCTCTCTCTCTCACTGAATTCAAACTCTTTGATTCCAATTTAGAATTGACATCCTCCAAGCTCAAATCATCGGCACCTTACTCACTACTGTATAGTAGTTGTGACCTCCTCCTCTTCATCTTGTCGCTCTTCACGCGCTTTCTCTCCTCAATCTCCTCGAAATTCAAGCTACCTCTATTTTTCTCACTCTTCCTATTGGATTTACCTTCTCCGCTCCCCAAGTCGGAGCTCTCTCTCGATTTCTTGCTAGTCTCGAAACTCTCGTGCATTCTCTTGTCGATCTCGAAAGCTTCTCAGTATTTTCTCTAGGATTACGAAAATGCCCTTGACCAGCCAGAAGATTTAGCTAGACGACGAGGTTAAACCCTTATTTAAAACTGACATGACCACTTTAGGCCGTTATTTAAAACATTATCCATTTTGGGCCATCTTTTGAGAAAATGAGGACACTTCGAATCTATATTTGAAAATTTTCTTTTACGTAATGATAGTCAGCTCGATTCGCCTCTTAAAAACTGTACGTGATCGAGATGTACTTTTCACATGATTCTCAAGAGAATAAATCGCACCAAATTATTTTAATGATTCAAATTAGACAGGTTAATTATCACACGATGAATGAGCTAGGGTGGACCCACAATATGCCAAGAAATCGAGCTTCTACAGTATTGCTTTTTAACTTTTTCTCTCTCTTTCTTTATAAAAAAATCATGAAATTCCTAACGCCAGCAGAATCTTCTTCCAATAAACTAATCTTGCGGGTTTTGTCTGCATTAAGCTTCCCAATTCATTCCCTAGACAAAACCACGTATCTTGACTACGTGTTAATGATATTGTGGACATCACATGTCAAAAGGCGCCGGATCGATAAAAAGCACCATACAACAACTAGAGATTCTCTCTTCGATAAAATCAGAATCTAGGGTTGTGGGTTTCACATGGTGGCCCCGATAACATTTTGGAGATCCTAGTCATCTGAATCAGCCAAGACACGAATCACAAGCTAAAGGGCAAAAAGAAAGAAAGAACGTGGGACCCTTTTCGACGTGTCATGACATCGCTACGAAGAATATGCCAAGAGGCCCGTCTCTCTTTTGTCGTCTTGTTGCGTGTCATGAACCAGAAAAACTAGACAGCAGTTCGTCGTGCCCTGATCCGCTCAAGATGCCATGAAGTGGAGGACAAAAGTGAGGTGCTGTTGCGGAAAGATTCGGGTTTGAACTTTGAAGACGAAAGAAAGCCAATTCGGTGATGAGGCTTGCGACTAGTAATGATGGAGAATCGATAAGGGTTTTGGATGTTGTGGATGATGATGTATAAAATGTAAGGAAAAGCTTTTCGATAGAGATCGCCAAAGGAGAGAAAAGGTTCGTGGCTAAAGGGCAAAAGATGTTGTGGAGGGGATGGATAAAAAGAAGAACGAGCGTCCACTGACTTTTACAACAGAAAGGTAACTAAAGAGAAGATCGCCATGGAATTGAAACTGTATCAGGTTAGGCAGTGGACCATCTTCAAGACAACAAGGTTAAGCTTATTCCCGTTTGTTTGCACCAAAAAGCGACCAGGTTGTCAACATAAGTAGACATGTGACTAGAACATTAAATAGTGATAAGCATGTGACCCATTGTTGATGACTAAAATCGGTATAGATGTTGGCATGCATCGATGATTGTCACCGGGCATTTGTCGTCTCACCGGGCGGTTGTCAACCTACGACGACAATCGCCAAGAGCATCGACAAGTAAGGATTGGTAAGTGGTCAAGATATTAGAAGATTGCCGAATACATAAGGAGCATTGAGATACCGTTACCAATTTGAAGTCATTGAAGAACAAAGTAGTTGAGATCAGGGAACAACTGGCATGCATTTTTGAAGGAGCAACCGTCCAAGAATAAGATCATGGCATCATGAGACTATGAGCACAAAATTCCCGGAGATGGAAGAACATGAATACAACCGCTGAAAACTGCTCAGAAACGGTTATGGCACTATCCCTATAAATACCGTTGCTCATCTAATTAAGAGCACTCTGCACAAATCGAATAAATTTACTATCTTTCAGTTATCTTTACTTTCTTGCATTGTACTTTTCTTTTCCGAACTCGCGTCGTCGATTAAATTATGGCGTAATTTTTTGCTGTAGTTTCCAGATTAGCGTCGTCGACTATATTCCGGCGTGTATCTTTATCTTGGGTGTTGTATCGTCAATTAAATTCCAGCTTATCATCTTTGCAATTCGGGCTTTATCATCAACTAAATTCCGGCACAATTTATTTACACTTGGTTTCGTCATAGAGTCTCTATTTTCCAAGTCTTGTCGTTGATTAAATTCCAATACGGTTTATATTTGTATATTCCCGTTTGACTCCAAGTGGTTGATTTCCTTATTATCTACCATATTTCCTGTCCGGAGTCGGCGCAGAATCTGTCTTCTTCAATTAAAAAGTCAAAGAATAACTTTCAGTGAAAGATATTTCATCGAAAACTCCGTTAGGGAAGAGTTTGCTTCATTTGCCTTCCCTGTTTGTACATATAACTCATACCTGAAATTTTACTTTGGTCCACGAAAAGTGGGGAAAAATAATGGTGGTATTTTAGGAGATTGGCGTTGTTATAATTGCAAAAACCTACAGAAGAAAATTGCCAGCTCGTTAATACCTTCACACGAAATGCGAAAAAGTGCATTGTTTTTACTAATATTGATGGACCGGATAGGAACCCAATTGGTCTTTTGGGCTATATATGCCCAGAATTGAAATCTAAGGGATATAGTGCTTGGGTGATGGCTAGAATCCTCTATGATCTCTATCTCGTGTTTCATGTGATATTCTGGCAATTTCAGCAGTCGTGTCCTTAACTCTCGGAAAAGAACGTCGTTTGTTTCAGACGATCGTGGACGAGTACACATCTTGTAGGCTCGGTGCGTGCTGCGCGGGGCCCTGCCACCGGCGACAAGCTCAAAGCCCGGGCTGTCAAGCACCGTGGCTTCCAACAAAAAAAAAAAGCACCGCGGCCACGGTGGAGATGTACAGAAGAGAAGAGAAGAGAAGGGGGGGGAGGTTGGGTCAGATTTGATATTAGCAAGGTCTTTTGTATAGAATTTAATCATGTGGGGTAAGGTGTAAAATAGGTTGGACACGTGGCAAAATAGTGTGGAGAAAACATTAGATGGCCACATTAATGGCTACAGCATATCCGCACCCCGTATACGACAACCATAGGTCTCTCTACGAAGAAGAGGATGCATGCACCTGAATGGGGGCATGATTTGGCTTGAGCAAATCGAAAATAGGTCAGAGATTTTAAGCTTCTTTTTTTCCATGTAGATTGCATTTCATAGTCTAGATTTGAGTCTGGATAGAATAACAAATTCTCTTATCCGATATCTGGAGATGTTCTCTGGACTGAATTAATCGAGACATATCTGGATAAAATGCCAATTAAATTCCGGTTAGGGGATGCGATGAACTTGGATTGAATAAAATTTTGTTAAAATAACTTAACAATTTTCTTCCAACGATGGAGTGACCTTCGCCGCTCACCACATGAGGAGCACCTCAACGACAAGCTATCATCGTCACTTCCAACCATCGTGCAATTGTCCTTGCCTCCGACCACCACCAATTGTCATCACCATCTAGTTGATCGTGCTACGACGATTGAAGGTAAAAAGGAGAAGTTATATGTTATATGGCCATCATCATCGAAGAACTCGAATCCTTTCATGAGTATGCTTGAAATATCTCGTCGTCCATAACAAAGGCGTGTCCGCCCTTGTTACTTGCTGCCCCGGTGCTAGCCATTGGTGGATCTCAGTCCACATCCTCTTCGCCCCTCACTATCCCAGATCGTCGGCTCAACGTCGAGTGGCACCTGAGTTTTACGCGCAATGTTCATCATCCCATCGCCACCCTTCAGCTCTACATTGGCCATTGATGCCTTGTTTACTAGATTGTTGCGAATGCTACCTCACAGTCTTGGCGACCTGAGGCTCATCTACACCAGCATTCGAATTGCCTCTGATATGATAAAGCTGAGCAAGGACTATAGTCTGGAGGTGAAGGTGACGGTGGATCTTGCGAACTAGCGGTGAAGGAGACGAACCAGAGGGAGCTAGAGAGACCGGGTTTGAGATGCCAGCGAAGGAGCTCAAGAGGTGAGATCTGGATATCGCGGGAGGTTGTGCTGGACAAGTGAGATTTTCAAAGACTTCTAAATATTTTTATCCTATCTTGGATTGTACCAAACATGTAATGGGATTTTCTATAATTCGGAGGATATTTGGTGGATTTATAATTCGATCTTATCCTATCATATCTCAATCCAAATCCGTACAACCAAACGCAGCTTAAAGGTTTCTAAATACCCTACATATTATTCCATCAAAGTCTTGGGGCGCTTTCTTGATGAAGTAGAAACATCCACATGCAACCTGGGAAAGCAAAAGAAAACGTCGAAACTGAAACCCTAAGAAAAAGTAGGGATTAGTCTTGCACTTTCCGATTGTGGCTGACGCAGCGTCGCACTGCTCCAACTCACGATCCCGCGTATCGTCCATGTTCACCGAACAAACCCTAGTTTTCTTGCAACATCAACCTCTCAAAAGGCCAACTGATCTCTAGCCGCCGACGACTGTAAAGCAAAGCACAAACAAAACACGTCGAGAAAATGTAAAGCAAGAGCCGAAAAAAGGTGAAGGAATACAAGAAAATAGATAATTAGCTAAGACCCTTTTCAATTGAAAAATGATCCTGATGATCCTATATAAGGACGTGATTGAGCAATGCAGCGATCAGCCAATCTCTTCTTTATCAAGGACAGCAGAAGTTTGGAAGTGTTGGCTTGAGAAATCGAATCATGACGGACATGCAGATCGTTCCCGCTTACAAGACAAATGTGGAGGCACAGTATGTGGAGATGATGGTGCCTCTGTATTCCTATGGCTGTGAGAAGAAGATCAAGAAGGCATTGGCTCATACAAAGGGTAACTTCCATAAGCAGATGTTTTTCGAGTTTCGGGTGCCTTTGTTTTCATTTTATGTTAATTATTTTTCTTGTTTCAATCGGATGGAGAAGGAACTTCTGATTCCATGAACAACCCTAAACAAAATAATAGAAACCGGATGAAATGAAGATAATTTACAAAACAAAATTCTTGGAAGAGTGAAAACTGAAAAAATTGCAAGAACATGACATTGTCATCACACCAGTTATCAGGAGGCCCACGGGCTCTTTTGGTGGAAAGAGAATGAGTTCTTATACTGACAAAGTTCGGCCCATTAGGGCTTCCGAATTCGTGATGCAACTTCTCTCTTTTTCCCACCATTTTGCTCTCAAAACACAGTTGATTAGACCCCTAATCCGCATCGTTAATGATGGGTTCGCAGGGATATACTCGGTGAACGTGGACTACAACCAGCAGAAGGTGACAATATGGGGGATCTGCAACAAATACGACGTGCTGGAGACCATGAGGACCAAGAGAAAAGAAGCTCGTTTCTGGAACCCTGAAGACAACAGTGCAGATGACTTGGAATCTCGTAAGGGCACCGACGATGTTAAGCATCTTATCAAGTCCAGGTCTCTGAGCTGGAGAGCGTGGAAGAGAGTCTTCACGAGATCCAATTCCTTTTGAAAGAGCACGTCAAACCAATAAAAAATTGCTTATAATCTTGAATTGCGTGTTAATGGGTACTTAATGATTCCTGTTGTGTGCCACTGCTAAAGGCAACGAGAATGAATGAATGTAAATTTGAGCCAATGTGCCTTTCAAGTTCTTGGTCTCGGCATGTATGTGTCTTGATCTACAAGATCAGCCCTAGTTCGATCAGTTTTCCACCGAATTAGAGACGATCATTCCAAATTTTCAAAAGGCACGAAAATTTTTCAGATAACTTTAAATATTTTGTGAGCGTTTATATATGTATGATTTTAAAGATTTCTTATGTTCATTTTTGGGCAGAGCCCATTTTTAGAATGCTACGAGTAAAGAAGCACAAAAATTAAAAGTCATTTCAAAAGGGCATTCTCAAATCCTAGAAAATTAATTTAGCTAAACGGGTTACAAAGTGATTTGGGTAGAAAAACGACGGCGATGCTAGTTGGTAGAGGTGCTCCAAAATATTCAGGACTTACAAAACTTAAACTATAACGCAAAAATCCCCAAAAAATTATAAATAAATAGAAAAGACGAGACGTTATTGTTGAGGACTTTTACAAAATTCAATACCTCAATTTTGAGAAAGAAAAAACCAATGTTTAAATCTGCAAAATGAAGATTATAGATAGCACAATATTCACGTCCAAGACTGGTCAAGATAATCTCCATTAATTGATTCGTCGTCGGCTACCTAATAAATACAGTGAATCTCTGGATTAAAGTTAGGTGTAAGCAAGTCGTGATGTGGAACAGTGGTCGTCTCACGCGCGATTTGACTTCCAATTTTCAACATCTTCTTTTTGAACAATCTTTACACCGGAAAGGTCCCCCGACCATTAATTTCTCACCCGATTGACCCTCACAAGGCCTCCATCGCGCCTACGATTTCACCCTGACCATTTGCTATCCATGGAATTAGCCGAGTCGAAAAGTCTGAATAGTCGTGCCACTAAAGGACTTACTCGTCCCGTGTATGTACGTTTTGCTTACCTATTATTTTATTTTTTTTGTAAAGTATATTGATACTTGATCGGAACGCTTGATTGACGTTGCACACAGATAATGCGAGTGTTTGTTTAATTTGCTTTGATTTTCAATGATTCGAGAGGAGAACAATTATCTAAAGGAGATAAAGCTAGAGACTACAATTTCATCCCAAGGAATATCAAAGTTTTTGTCAATTAGTCTTTGGATAGTAACATTGTTTGATCATGGGATATTGTACATGCAACCACTAAAATTAATATCACGTGCCGGTCATTCCCTTATCCTTGCTTTTAGCTAAATTAGTCTTACTCCAATTTTCCTGCATATGAATTAAAAGTAGAATTTATTTATTTATTTTCTAAATCAAAGCACGTATTTCCATATTGGATATTACAATTTGCTTCTGACATGACGTGATTGCCAATAAATTCATGAATTGTTCATCTAATTAATAACTAAAATGCTTATTCAAAGCCGGAGTCGACACATCGTAATGCATTCGAGAGCCATAACTTATGATCTAGATGGAGCTAAAGAGCGAGCTTATCGAGCTCTATGATGTGAATATCATCAATTCGAGTTCTAAGATTTAAGATCATTCTCAGCATCCAATTTATCACGAAATTTCAAGTTCCTTCTCTTATGGAGCATTTGTAGACGCTAATTTCGTGACAACTTTTTGTACCCAGCATGGCACGCACGATGCGATCAAAACAATCTGCATACTATCTTTTCTTGTAGCATAGCTCTCTCGTCAAATATTACTCATTTCTTTGTGGCGAGGGGGGTATTGTCAATCGAAGCAAAATCGGATTTTCTTTTATATTTTTGGTAAGAAAATCGAACACTTAAATGCAACTGTTAATAAGAGTGTTAGGAATTGGTAAAGCAGCAGTCAGAAATGCGAAACCAAAACGTGGAGCTGTAAAAGTGAAGGCAAAGCCAATCGGAGCAAGCAAAACCAGGGCGTGATTCTCCTGCAGTCCAAAAGCAACCAGACATCACTCGAAAGTCCCAGAAAAGAACGTAAGAGACTCAATCTCTCTCTCTATAAATATATGCGCATGATAGTCGCCTCCATAGCTTACCCTGAATGTTCAAACTCTCGTCGAAGGCACGCCTCCGTTCTGGAATTTGAAGCGTCCACGCGTTAAAGAGGAGGACTGCTGCAACAGAGTCGAGCCGTTGAGGATGATGATGGTGGTGGTCGTGGCGGGGCTGCTGGAGGAGTACACGGCGGCGGTGAGGCGGCTGACGGAGCGGCTGTTGCCGCCGCGGATGAGCTTGGCCGGCGGCCTCCGGAACTTGCGCCTGGCTTCTGCTGCCTCTTCCTCAGACGATGCTTCCTCCTCAGCTTCGCACTCTTCCACTTTCATCCTTTATTTCTGATTTTATTCGTTCATCCCTGTTCTAACTGTCGAGTTGTATTCATTGGTTTACCATTTTAGGAGCATTTTCTTTTCGTTTAAACAAAGCATCTGATCAAGTCCAGGTCTCTCAGCTGGAAGAGAGTCTTCACGAGATCCAATTCCTTGTAAAGTACATGAAATTATAAATCATCGTTTATATCTCTTATAAAAATGTATGAACGAAAAATATTTTCATCGTCTACGAATATATTTGAACATAAATTTTTGGCAATAATGAAAACATTTTCTATGGATAAATTATTTTAAGCGATACAAGCGATCGTTTTTAGGAAAATGTCTTTCAAATCATTTATTTTTCACGAAATAAACGATTCTTAATTACATGTCAATGGGTACTTAATGATTCCTGTTGTGCCACTGCTAAGACAACGAGAATGAATGTAAATTTAAGCCAACGAGCCTTTCAAGCTCTTGGCCTCGGCATGTGTTTGTCTTGATCTACTAAATTAGCCCTAACTTGATTAATTTTCCACCAAATTAAAGAAAATCATTCCAAATTTTGAAGGGATGCAAAAATTTTCAGATAACTTTAATATTTTCGAGGGTTAATATATGTATAATTTTAAAGAAATTTTTATGTTCATTTTTTGGGCAAAAGCCCATTTCTAAAACGCTATAAGTAAAGAAGAACAAATTAAAAGTCATTTCGAATGGATATTCTTAAATTTTAGAAAATTAATTTAGTCGGCAAGGCGCTCCAAAATATTTAGACTACATTTGATCGTCCAAATTTGGATTAGAGTACGATGGAATAAAGTGGGATTAGGAATTCTCCAAATATGCTCCGATTGTAACAAATTTCATCACATATTTGGTGCAATCCAAGATAGGATGCAAAATCTTTGAAAATCTCACTTACTCAGCACAATCTCCCGCAATATCCAAATCTCAGTGCTTTCGGCGAAGACGAGCCTCGAGTTGCCGAGAGCATTGTGGAGCAACCAGGAGAGGTAGCAGCTACAGTGATCTGGTAGACGAGGCAGCAACGATCAATGTAAAAGTGAAGGGTGGCAACCAGGTGATGGACGTTGCACATGAAGCTCATGTGCAACTTGACATTGAAGCCAACGATTTGGGGTAGTGAGGGGCGGAGAGGAGGCGGACGTGGACGGCATTGGGGCAACGAGTAACAAGGGCGGCCACACCTCTATTGTGGACAATGACCTTGAATAATTTTGGTGCACTCACGAAAGGATTCGAGTTCTTCGATGGTGATGGGCCATTTGACACATAATTTCTCCTTTTCACCCTCAGTCGTCAAAGCATGATTAGCTAAATGGCGGTGACGATCGGCAATGGTTCGGAGGTGAGTAACGTGGGTGACCATGCCTATGTTGTGGTCGACGAATTTGGCACACTTGTGAAAGGATTCGAGTCCTTCGATGGTGATGGGCCATTTGACAAATAATTTCTCCCTTTCACCCTTAGTCGTCAAAGCACGATCGACTGGACGACGATGACAATCGGCAACGGTTCAAAGGTAATGATGATTGTTGTACGGTGGTCAAAAGTGACAATGATCGGTTGTCGTGGAGGTGATCCTTGCGCAGCGGTCGGCTGCATCACTCCGTTACTTCATTGTTGGAAGAAAATTGTTAAGTTTTTTTTCTAAAAAAAAATTATCCAATCCGGGTTTATCCCACCCCTTAATCCGGATTTCTTATTAGGCATTTTATCTAGGTATATCCGGGTTAATCCGGTCCAAAGGACATCGCCAAACACCATATATGATATTATTATCTTATTCAGACTCAAATTCAGACTACGCAATTTAGGACTTACAAAACTCAAAGCATGGCGCAAACCCCCTGCGCCCCCAAAAAAAAGAAGGAAAAAAAGACGTGATGCTATTGCTTAGGACTTACAAAACTCAATACCTCAGTTTTGAGAAAGAAAAACCAATGTTTAAATCTTCAAAATCAAGATTACAAATAGTACAAAGTGCATGTCCAAGACCGGTCGAGATAATCCCCATTGCTTCGTCGTCGGCCACCTAACAAATGCTGCGAATCTCTGGATCAAGAGGAGGGAAATTTGCAAGCCGGCATTCTTGGCGGCGATGAGGAGATAGTGAGATGATCAAGTTAGGAGTAAGCAAAGTCGTGATGTGGAATTCTCATGCACGATTTGACTTCCAATTTTCAACATCTTCTTTTTGAACAATCTTACACCGAAAAGGTCCCCACCCGACCCTTAATTTCTCGCCCGATTCACCCACACAAAGCCTCCATCACGCCTACGATCTGACCCGGGCAATGGAATCCACGGAATTAGCCGAATTGAAAGATCTAAATACTTGTGCCACGTACTAAAGGACTTACTCGTTTCGTGTATGTACGTTTTGCTGATCACTTATTGTGTTTTCTTTACCGGAATGCTCGACTGAGGTTCCACAAAGATAACACAGATGTTTGCTTAATTTGCCATGCTTTTCAATGCTTCGAGAGGAGAACAAGTATCTAAAGGACAAAAAGTTAGAGACCACAATTTCATCCCAAAGAATATTAAAGTTTTTGTCAATTAGTCCTTGGATAGTAACATTATTTGATCATCGGGATTTGTATATGCAACCACTAAAATTAATATCACATGCCTGTCATTACTTTATCCCTGCTTTTAGCTAAATTAGTCTTACTCCATTTTTCCTGCATATGAAACAAAAGTAAAAGAAAAATTCCTAAATCAAAGCACGTACTCAAAGAAAAATTCCTAAATCAAAGCACGTACTCACATATTGGATATTGTAACATGCTTTTGACACGGACGTGATTGCCGATAAATTCACAAATCATTCATCTAAGTAATAATTATAAATGCAGGTTCAAAGCTAGAGTGGACACATCGTAATGCATTTGAGAGCCATGAGTTATGTTCTGGATGGAGCTGAAGAGTGAGCTTATCGAGCTCTACGATGTGAATATCAATTCGACCTCTAAGATTTCAGATCATTCTCGACAAGATGTCAGGATTTGCCGCACAATCACAAAAAAATAGAGAGTAAAAAACGAGAAAAAGAATCGAAACACAAGGTTTTTATTCTAGTTCACCCTTAAACTAGAGCTGTGTCTAGCAGAGGATTCCACTATAATTAACACATCACACTTCTCTGTTATATCTCTCAATTACAAGATAAAGAAACTACATATAGGCAATAATTGATTTAAAATAGGAAACCTCTTTCTAGGAAACCTACTCTAATTAGGAAACTTACTCCAATTAGAAACCATTCAATTAGGAAACATATTCAAAATAGGAAAACTTTTTCTAGGAAACCTATTCAAAATAGAAAGCGTAATTGAATTAGAAAACTTTCCCTTGTTGTCCTGTCGCTGGGAGTATGAACCACACCCCCAACACATCCAACTCTTCATGAAATTTCAAGAGTTCCTTCTCTTATCGAGCATTTTGTCGATGCTAATTTCGCCACAGCTTCTTGTACCTGACACGGCATGCACAACGCGATCAAAACGATCTGCGTAATATATTCTCTCGCAGCGCAGATCTCTTAGCACATAATACTTTTTTTTCTTTTTGACAAAAAAGGGAATTGAACTGTCAATCAAAGCAAGATCATTTTGTCGTTTTAGGTATAAAAAAAAACAGAAGAAGAATCGAACTCTTACTTGCTACTGTTAATATAAGTATCAGGAATTGGCAAAGCAGCAGTCAAAAAATGCGAAGCCAAAACGTGGGAGGAGCTCTAAAAGCAAAGGCCGAAGCCAATTGGAACAAGCAAAGAACAAGGGCGTGATTCTCCTGCAGTTCCTATTCCCCAAAAGCAATCTCAGACAAAGACTCGAAGGTCCCAGAAAAGAACGTAAGACACTCAACCTCTCTCTCTCTCTCTCTCTCTGCATAAGTATGCGCATGATATTCGCCTCCATAGCTTACCCCGAACGTTCAAACTCCTCGTAGAAGGCACGCCCGCCTCCGTTCTGGAATTCCCGAAGCTGGCCGCGCGCTGAACAGAGGAAGGGGCTGTCGCAGCAGGAGCCGAGCCGAGCCGAGCCGTCGAGGATGATGATGGCGGTGGTCGTGGCGGGGCTGCTGGAGGAGTACGCGGCGGCGGTGAGGCGGCTGTCGGAGCGGCTGTTGCCGCCGCGGGTGAGCTTGGGCGGCGGCCTCCGGAACTTGCGCCTGGCTTATTCTGCCGCCTCTTCCTCGGACGACGATGCATCCTCCTCCTCCTCCTCCTCCTCCTCGGCTTCGCGCTCTTCTTCCACTTTCATCGTCTATTTCTGATTTCATTCATTCATCTCTCTGTTCTGCGCGGGTCGAGTTGTATTCATTGGTTCTGACATTTTTTAGGAGCAATTTTTTTTTCGCTTAATCATTTTTTTTTTGTGCGAATGGTATTTCGATTTTCGGGCAAATAATAATTATATTATCTTTTTTGTATCTGGTGGATGGATCGTTGAAGAAATTAAAGAATTTCCGTCGAAGGAACGCTTCTTTTTCGTGTTTTTTTGATTAATTTAAATAAATTTCGACCCAAAAAAAAAGATTAATTTTGAATAAAGAGGAGCTTACTGACTATCTAACTAAAATAATTCCTCCTTTGAAAATTTTTGAAAAAGATTTACGTGATTCCAAACTGACCTAATCATTCGTTCATTTTTCTAATCTAACGTTAAATATCTATTTGTTTCGACTTTAATGGATCTTGAATATTTTGTAATCACTCAATCAGTCTCAAGGCTATTGAAGGGATGCGAATTCAGTCTTAAACTCTTCGATTTTATCAAGTGAGTCATGAACCTTTGCGCGAAATTTCAATATAATTATTCAAGTCAAATTTATCCGAAAATCGCTGGCGTGGTGATCTAATCATCGCTAATTGTCCTACATGGCTTGTCACCCTGGCGGCGATTTTCAATGATCAGAATAATTGAGAATTTTAGGACGGAATTGACACTCGTATAATATATTAAAAAAATGATAGGATAATTTCCCATTTTATATCAAATAAAAGCCCAGTCTTCGATTAAAAACAATTTAAGATGTTAAAAGCAATTAAAAAATCACATTAAGAACAGCCGTCAATTCCGATCGAGTGATGTAGCTAAGCTATCTCTGGCACGGCAGATTCAACGACCAAAATGATGACCATGCGGATTGAAACCTCACATCGTGACAATCTATCATCATGCTCACTCATGCCGTCTGATTTTTCAAATCTGTCATCAATAGGTGCACCGGGAATGGACGGATTAGCTCGAATTAGGTTCCATCTCCTAATCATGTTCAACCCCCTTGTCAATGATGGGTACCCGTACCATTTGGGCGGCAAATTTTGACATAGGCCCCGATTAACGCGGCGCGACCGGCTTATCACTGGACAATGAAGAAAAAATTATCCGATAGTGGCTTGATCCGCTCTCGATGTGATAGTTAGTGAGAGCGTAGGTAATCACAGCCATCAAATTGAAAATGGGGAAAGTCGCTTGCGAACTTTCGTCCACTGACGATGTGTATGATGATTCGAAACAGCTTGATTTTATCTTTATGATATGAAAACACTACTATGAAAATGTTGCTTAAACATATGCACTCTACGTATGCAAGTCATGAATACAATGCAGACGTATGCAGATGATTGACTAAGCTATTAAAATGGCTACTCGTGAGGGTTGTCACTCAAAAGCATAGTTTGAAAATGCTACTTCTCAAGGTTCCTCCAACCCTTTATTGAGCTAAAGGCCTTTGAAAAGTTTTGGAGATGCAATTGCATCTCTCTAATGCACTTCAAAAATTTTGCCAAACGTCATTTATATTTGCCCAAAAAATTTTAAAATCCCAAGGACTTTACAAATGCTGCACCAAACGCACCCATAATCTATGCATGATATTCATTGTTTGACGTTTTTCAATATAAATCGTTGCGATTTACGCGAGAAGTATTTCTTATGATGGAAAAAATTTGTTGTATCGTCCATTTCATTTTAATAAGAGTTGTCTACAAGAATGACTCACTTGTATTGGAAACTAGAGACAAACTAGATACACGCTAATGGATCAATTTGTTTTATGAAAAATGAATAATTTATAAAATATTTTTTTTCCAAAAGTGATATCTTATATCCATTGAAATAATTAGCCGATAAAATATATTTTGATCATTGACAATAGTTTATATCTAAATATTTTCATGAAAATTTATTGAGCTTTTATTTATTTTTGTAAGTAATATAAACGATACTTCTAAAAAAATATATTATATAAATTATTTAATTTTCACGAAATAAAATGGCCGAAGATTTATAGCAAAGAGACAACAACATTAAAGTGAGCAATTTGGACCAAGAGAAAGAAGAACAAATTACGGAAATCTTTTAGGGCGCGCATGATAACATTTATGTTCCAGAAATCAATTTCTGGCCAGAAATAGATTTTTCTATTTCTATTTCATGGACGAATTTCTAAGCAAAAATGCATGTGTGATAACAACACAAAATTTCTGTTTCCGAAATAGAAATTTGTTTGATAACTACATAAAATTTCTCCGTTCCGGACGACCAGCGGAGGACGGCGGGTGGCGAAGGACGATGGCCAACGATGGGAGGTGGCCGGCCGGTGGCGATGGATGATGGCGGCTGGCAGCGGGAGGCGATCGGCCCTAGGCAGCGGCCGGCGCCGGGTTGTGGAGCACGGCGGCCGACTGCTGAGGCCGGTGGCGTTGGGCGATGGAGCACGACGGCTGGCAGTGGAGCATGGTTGCCCTCCACCGCCGGGTGGTGGAGCATGACAGCCGGCGGCGGAGGTATGGTGGGTGGCCGCCGGCCACCCGGGGGGCGGTCGGCGGCGGGAGGCGACCGACGGCGGAGGGTGGCCGGCGCTGGGCGGTGGAGCACGGCAGCCGGCGGCAGAGGACGGCGGTGACGGGAGGCGGCCGGTGGTGGCATGAGGCGGCCGGTGGTGGCATGAGGCGGCCGGCAGCAATAGCGAGTGGCAAGGGGATAACAGAATTAGTAGCGAGGGTAGCGATAAGAAAAGTTTTTATTTCTTATTTACTTCAGGAAATAGAAAAGTAAATTTTTTACTTTTGATTTACTTCCAAACTTATTTCCGGAGTAAAAATTTGTTCCAGAAATAGAAAAATGAAATTATGTTACTAAACGAATTTCTGTTCCAAATCTATTTCTGAAAATAAAAAAATAAAAAAATAAAAAATAGAAAAACAGAAATGTTACCGTACGTGCCCTTAGTGTGATGAGGTTTAACAGAGGACAACCTTGCCGGTCGACACGAATTCGCCTTCTCATTTTCTTCGACGGCTGCAGTCGGAAGAAAGCTCGGACTGTTGTTGTTGGCTCTGCTTCCGACGCTCCTGGTCCGGCTCCGTTCAAGGTGCGATCTCTGTACATCCCTCCTGCTCGCCGACCGATTGCGCATGCCTTCCCTTCGATGACCGGAGCTCGCGCGACGGCGATACGCTCTTCGTCGCAATCCGATGAACCCGTTTTTTTTTGCTTTCTCTCGTCGTCGGTGTTGGTTCCGATCTTAACCGAGCTGTCTTTTTCCGCTTTCGAATCGAATAGGAATCGAGCGAACACACGATCGTCCGGGCTCGATTTGAAAGTCTCCTAGGTTAGGTGTCTGAGTCACTCTGTCGGATTGCGACTCCGATCGAGAGTTTCCGTCAGACGCGTGCAATTTTCGGGCTTTTTTATGGGACGGGTTTTCGTTTGTGTACGATGATGATCCCTGTTGCTACCACAGCAGCTGAGGCTGTCTTTCTTTTCTTTTTTTAAAGTTTTGATTTTTTTTATGGCATGGTCATTTGAAAGTCGGTGACGCCAACATCGTATCCTGGAAAGGAAGTCCCGGGAGATACCGATCGATGTGCTCGTGATCGGCGGTCTGCTCGTGCTGGGACGAGGAGTGAATTAGTCCATCGACAGCGCCCTGTGAGGTCGAGGGTATCCCATTTGAGTATTGCAACTTTGATCTTGCTGTGGTAGTAACGAGATGGACGATCGAGCGCAAGGTGAGCGGGTGGAATCGGTGGACAGGTACTGGTCGGAATGGGCAAGAGAAGCTGACTTACCCACAGATGGAAGGGACACGGACGAAGGTAGTTGTTTTTCTCAGCGAAGTGTATCGAGGCTATGTCGATGTTGCGGTAATTTCTGTCTGTGGTAGCTCTTTGCATTCGCTGCCTGTGTGTTTGCCATGTGGAAATGGATGTTCAGTATTTTCAACACAAAAGCACCCGAAAATAGCAATAAATTGCCATCTGAGGAATACGAGAGTAGCCGAGTTGTTTCCAACGCACAATGTTTGTAGTTCATCATGTTACCCCCTTCTCCTTCAGTTTGTTCGCTTGTTGTAGATTTTGCTATTACTGTCCATGTAAGATTTCAACTGTCTGTGTTTTTTTTGAATTAGATTCATCGGAGAGAAAACTGCCATTTAATTCTTCCTTTGGCTTCATCTCCACGTATTCTTTCTAGAAGTAAAGGGTTAGGAGCCTACCTTTTGGACCAGATTATGTATGATTGTTCTCAGTGAAACTATGGATGCTGTCTATGTGGAATATCTCTGTGTTTTACCTCTTAAATTGTCATGTCCTTACCTTATGTCATTGTGCCTATGGCTTCTGAAATAGGTGTTATCCGACTTTGGAACAAAAACTGTACTGGAGTGTACTGATTACTTGCTTGTTTCCACTTGTTTACCTCTTGTCATTCTGCCTATAACATCTAAAGCAGTCATTGATGTCTGAGAACTCTTTTTGAAGGAGTGAATCCAGATTTTTTCCCTTTCCCTTTTTCTTGCGAGGAGATTGTCCATCTAAACAATTTTCATTTTTGCAGAAGCTTCCGATGACATCAACGGGCCATTAGTATCAGAAGAACATTATCTGGCATCGTCATTAGGGTTAGGTTCAGACAGTGGGGATGTTCGAATGCAAACCACTAACGTACCGCGGCATCATTCTAGCCTTACTGAGGGAAATTCTGTTTCTCATTCTTTCCCCATACTTGCAATCAGACCACCAGCTACTGGGACCAGCTCTGGTGGTTTTCCAGGGGTCGCTACTTGTGGCATTGCTGCAGCTAATAAGGAGTCTGGCAGAGGTACTCTCTGCAGTATAGAGGAGCCTCATGCAGTGCAGAATCGTGAAAAAAAGCTTCTGTTTGAGGCATCGCAGGTCAGCTACCACCTTAAAAGAGGTGATAATCTGTTGGAGAAATCATGGTCAGAAAGAGATGATAATAGGTCAAAGAAGAAGGATTTTGCTGATGATGTGTTCGATCCACAATGGAGAACAAAATTTGGACATACAGTTTCTGATGTAAACATTGACTCATGCAGTTTACTGGGCGAGAGAAATCGTGTTTCCAATTCACCACTTTCTTTTGAGCAGCATGCAATTGCTAATACATCAAACAAGAGGTTGGATGACGCTATGCGTGTTGATTCTTGCTATTCCAGACCAAGCTGTCTCCATCAGACTTATTCATCTGATATTATCCATGAGCGAAGTAAAAGAAATGTCCAGACTGATTTGTCAACAGATTATCATGGCTTTGAACCTCACTGGCCAATGCAATGCAGCTATGAAGTAGGAAAAGCTGCACCTGAGAAAGGTCAGCAATTAATGGATTATGTGTCAAAAACGAGGAACATTATGAATAACTCCTCATTCGATAGCTTATCCAGAGAGTCCTTCACCAGTACGAGGCATGGCTTTAGTTCCCCAACTTCATCTCATTCTCTCGGTAGGGCTTCTACTGTGCTTAGCAGATTGTGCGGGACAGAATCAGTGCTGACAGAACAGGCCCATTTGGTGGTCAAATCAATGCACTGTTTGTCAGAATTGTTTCTCTTTCAGAGCTCCAATGGTCCATGGGTCTTAAAGGATGAAGACTATGATATCCTTAAAAGTGTGATAGATAACCTCAGTGCATCTCTGAAACACTTCCGGCGAGGTACTGAAAGGCAACAATTACCATCTTCACCACCTCGTCCAGCCCAACTTTTTGGAAAGTCGACTGCTCAAGTAAAGGTACTTACATTGACGACTTCTGGAATTTTTTATTGGAGCAGTTCTCCTATCAATATTGAAGTAATGTGTTTGGAAGCTAATCACTGCCTCCATAATAGCAATCTTCTGTGTAAATACCTTCTTACTGAAAACGGGTTGAGTTGTTAAAAGGCTTCTTTCGGAAATAGCATTCCATAAATTTTTGGTATAGATCTTAATGCTTCCTTTTGTTAAACTACGCTAAGCGGTATAATGTTAAAGGAGTTCTCCTATTAATATTGAAATTATGTGCTTGGAAATCAGTGCCCTCCATAATAGGCATCTTCTGTGTAAATTCCTTCTTGCGGGATAAGGATTGAGTTGTTGAAAGGCTTCTTTCAACAATAGTAATTTCATAGATTTTTGTCAAGATCTTAATGCTTCTGTTTTTAGAAGAACGCTAAGCTGTATAATATGTTAATGAAGCAGAGTGTGAGATCAGAAGAGCCACAGATAAGGAGTGTACAGGCTAATGATCAAGGTCAATCCATTCTTCCGCACTTGTCCGGGGAGAGAAAACGTTATCTTGCGCAAGGTGATCCAAATAAAGTTGATTCAGTGCTTGTTGCTAGTGATGATCTTGACAATGTCGGCAATGATAAAATGACTCAGGTACTTGTTTGTGGGTATATTTCTTATATTTAAAAGTGCAGTGATAAGTTTTAATACCTGTATCTTTTATGGCTAATGATCCTAATTTCATATTTTCCCTTCAAATAATAGCCAAACTCCTTTGTCTGCTTGATGGTTTTAGGCCATCAAGAAAATTCTTATAGATAATCTTGATGACGAGGTGGAACCGAATCTGCAAGTTCAATTGTTTAAGAATTTATGGCTTGAGGCAGAGGCTGCATTATGTTCCATGAAGTTCAAGTCTTGCTTTAAGCGCGTGAAGACAGAGATGGAGAGGCTCAAGTCCTTTCAAAGAGGTGGTTGTAGACTGACCTAGTAGCGGTTGTTACTTTTTTCCAACGTCATATTCACAAATTTATTTCGTTGCAGATTCATCTGACAACTTGTGGGATATGGAGAAGTTATCGAGTTCGAATCACTCCTCCTATTCCCAGGCAGAAGACAAATCAGCCCCCCAGGCCAGATGTCATGTAAACCAAATCACCACTACCCAGTGTTTCCCTGCCTTTAGTGCAGGTACCGAAATAAATGATGTTGTGGCCGGATTTAACATCTTAAAAGAGCGGGACTTTAACTCAAATGTCTTCTCGGCTGGAGACAAGGTGGAATGTGTTAGTCCTGAGAATTCTAAATTGGGTCATGACTCAAATGATGTTTTGGCCAGATTTAATATCCTCAAAGGTCGAGACTTTAACTCAAATGCCTTGTCTGCTGGAGATGATGTGGAATGTGTTAGTCCTGAGGACTCTAAATCTCGAAATCTCATGGAAGCTGATGAATCAACAAGCAGAGCATGTCCTGTGGGTGGTTTTGTTGAAGGCAACTCTGATAATTTTCCTGTGAATATCCCTACTAAGCGGATGGAGAACGCAAATGCTTCTGTAATGGAGAGATTATCTATCCTGAGACAAAGGGATGATAGTTTGGTCTCTGTGAATATTCAACCGAGGCCAGAGGAGGCTGCTTGTCTTGGGTCTTTTTTGAAGAAAGATTATTTTTCAGGCTGGGCAGAGAAAACTGATGTGCTGAGTTTCAGTAATTCTGCTGCCTTTCTACATCAGACTGCAAATCCTCCTGATCAATTGTCGACCTTGAAGGACGTACGTGCAATTCCTGAGGACGATGAAGCACCTCAATCTCAGTGCATTGGTGGTTCCGCGAATTTGAATTTTGCGAGGCGCTCTGATAGTTCTTCATCATCTGACTGGGAGCTCTGTGGTGAAAGAGATTTGTCAGCGGAAGTGTGACGTCTCCAAATTCGGCAATGGTCCCTAGAGGTGAAGGCACGGACTCTCCTTTAACCATATGACCTCACGAAGGCTCGTCATCCATCCGAACCAGGAACCTCTGATAATTTGCGGTTTTGCTTGAATAAGTTTAGCGCGTGTAAATCTCTGCTTGAACCTGTGCTTAGTACTACCCCCTCCCCTATGGTTTTAACACTGTCATTTCTCCGAATTTTACATTACCACTCGTAACAACTGCCGAAAAAACGGGATTTTCATTGGGTTCGCTATTAATGTAAAGGTTTTTTTTTTGTATCTCCTCTCTTCTATGTAAATACGTGTGTAGTGCTCACGAGAATCGAACCTTGGACCTAAGACTCTCTGGCCCCACCCCTCAATCCCTTTATCAATATCATTTATATCATATTGGCATGATCAATGTAAAGTTACACATTCATTATCTGATGGTTGACATGTGGAAGAATTTGGTTAGAAAACTAATTGCAAAGACACATATTTCTCGTCCAACGGTAAATATGTAAACAAATTTATATACTTGTAATGTATCGAAAAACGGACTTACATTTTCGCGAAGTATAACATCAACACAAACCCACTTAACCCCGTTTTGTCTTAGTAATTAGTAGGGGTGTGCAAAGGAACCGGGAACTACCCGGAATCGAACCAGACTGGTCTGGAATCGGTGGTTTCTAAGGGAACCGGTCCTGTTCCCAGTTCCATTTTATTGGAACCGATGGTACTGATTCAGTTCCCGGTTCTAGGTGTGGAACCGCCCATCCTCCCACCCGGACCGGACCGATAATATATATCTTAATTTTTAATTTTTAAAAAGTGAAAACTTTAAATCCCTAATCTGGCCGGCGTCTCTCCTTGGTGGTTCCAGTTCGAAGTTGCACGAAATTATAACTCCAACAAGGAGAGTCCTCACCTTGAAATTTTGCATAGAGACCTCAGCATCTATAGTTTGACTGAATCAAGAGAGTTTGCTGCCGTGAGAGTTGCAAATGGCAAAGAACTCGGTAAAAAAAACTGGACTATTGCAGGGGCTATACAAACAGGGAAATGGACAGGGATTGGCAATAATCTTGGGCCAAAAATGGGCGGAAATTGCAGCTGGTATTTTGACCATTTGAGAGGTCATTTGAGGTGACAAAACAAGGGTCAAAACCTTGCTGCATTTGCTGGAAATGCAGAGGGAAGATAACTGCTGTAAGGAGGGGAAATTGTAAACCTTGAATTGCAGGGGAAGAGACAGAGGGACATAATGCTGGGAAACGGACCGGTGGTCCGGTTCCCGAGTGGATCCGTGGAACCAACGGGTGGTTCCCGATTCTAATTTTTCGTAACCGGTCCTTAATGAATGGTTTCTGGTTCCGGGGTGGGAATCGCCCACCCGAACTATGCTCACCCTTAGTAATTAGGGGCAAAGAAGGTAAGACTTTATTAGACTATAAATTTCCTAATTGAGTTGAATTGAAGTAAAAGATCAAGCGCATAAAGTACTTCAAGAGCCGAGCTCTAAAAGTTAGAATCGGATCTAAATTTGAGTTGAATTTCGAGCTGCAAAAATGCATGGATAAGATTCGACAGGGTGAGTTGTAGCCGACTTGGAGAGAGTACCTGGTAGGCAAACTGGCTAAAGAATGTGGACAAAACACGACGAACCAAATCAAACCACTCCAAAAGCCCCACTTGGTCGAAAGCTTTGTCTTTCTATTGCACTAGTCTTGCCCAAAAGGTTGATTCCTCTCTCCCTCTCTCTAGCATTTAGTCCAATCAATAATTCTATGTCATAAAATATAAGTGCGATGGTTTACAGCATCTTTATCTTGCATTAGAGAATATGGAACTCCATCCCAAACGGCTGCTTATTTTAAGCTTTTCAACCTCGCATTTCCGAGATTTCTGGTAGACGTCGCGGGGTACACGATCGCATTAAAGTATGTCAATCAACATGTAATGCACGGAGTTCTGCTGAAAGCAAACGACTTGCGAAGCATCTTTATTGGACCCGACAAGAGTTATTTAGAAGACCCCACCGTCATGGAAAGTCAAAAGTGATAGAGATGATTAGTTGCTAATCCGTTTGATTTGGTGACTTCCTTCTTTGTCTTTAACAACGTCGAGAGCAAGGGCCGAGAGTAAACGGTCACGACCTTACGAATCAGAGAGAGGTGACAATCGTGCAAGGATGGCGTACGCGCGCTGGTCTTGAAGTATATTTTCGGCGGAATCTTGAGTTACGGGCAAGTTCGTCGGTTCGAAGTAACACCGGCTAATCCCCATCATGTCGATGCACTTCGTTGAACTGTAGTCGGCATCAGTCGATTTGCCTGGCCGAGCAACCCCAATAATTGCCTCCCCCGGGCCGATCTCATTTCGCAAAATCCAGATGATATAAAGAAAGCGGAAGCGACACACGAAGGTTTGACTCCGGCGCATACGCGCACTCGCCGAAAACAAGAACAAGACAAACGTGGAAACTGCACACCCGATTCCCTGTCGTTCGTGAATATCTCTATATTATATTTGCAGAATCGGAACTGCTTCTAGCTAATCATCCACCCAAGTCAAAGAAGATTGATCCATGTTCTTTGTTTCGGCCTTGTTTTGGACCCAGATTTCCCGCGTAAATCATGATCATGGGCCTTCACAAAACGAGATATTATAATGACAAGATCGATGCCACTGATCGAACCAACCCCAGTTGTCCCTTTCCTTCATCTTCCACATCTCTATCTGTACTGCAGAAGCGCTTTCATCAATCAAGTTGCAACTCTCTCTCTCTCTCTCTCTCTCTCTCTCTCTCTCTCTCTCTCTCTCTCTCTCTCTCTCTCTCTCTCTCTCGTGTTCGCCCATTGGCAAATGAAATTTAAACATAAATTACGTGTGAAAGAATACATCTCAATGATTAGATGCATTGCGGTTCTTGTGCTATATATATGGTGTGGTTTTACAAGGAGCATTCAACCCGAGCTTCAATCCAGTTCAAAGAACATTTGAATTCGGGTGAAAGAATCAAGAATCTCGTAGTTTTTGAGATGAAGAAACTTCTTGTGTGTATCGCTCTCGTTCTGGTCTCGTTGTCTCGATGCGTTGAGTCTCAGATTGAAGTTGGGTTCTATGAGGACTCGTGCGAGATGGCCGAGTTCATCATTAAGGATGAGGTCACGAAAGCTCTCAACAAGGACAAGGGTTTGGCTGCCGGTCTTGTGAGGATGCACTTTCATGATTGCTTTGTTAGGGTGAGTTATAAACAATGACGATATCCCATATTTTGTTGTACATCTAATTGTAATTTATGCCTTCAATCAAGGTCCACTAAGAGAGTTAACTGAATTCTTTTCTTTCTCCTTGGTTGCATTTTTGTATGCAGAATAATGTGTCAACTAAGAGTTCACTAATTCGTTGCAATTTACGCCACTCGCACATCATACAAGTGTGCGGCCTCATACGTAGAACCTATATTGACTATCACCTGCTTTCATGTCAATGAAGCATCTTTCGATTAATCTAACGGAATTGTCCTGATCTGATTAATAAATATGGCACATCTACTAATTATATCGCAAATTCAAGTTGGCATATGATGTATACATTTATTAAAGGTTAACCGCTTAACTAGATGTCCCTAAATGCTTTTAACAAGTTTAGAGATTTAAATTGTATATGATATTTTCATTATTCATCTACCAAAGGCTGTCGCATTAATCATGTGCGGTGTTGTAAATCTTGTTTAAATATACTCCTCCTAAACTCAATGACCCTCACAGAAGAAGTATCTTAGCTCTCAGGAATGGATTTCGTGAGTTTTAAAAAACATTGCGTGGTTGATCAATTTTAGGGTTGTGACGGGTCCGTGCTCATCGACTCCACTCCGTCAAACACGGCTGAAAAGGATTCTCCAGCCAACAATCCTAGTCTGAGAGGATTCGAAGTAATCGACAATGCCAAGACTAGGCTTGAAGCTATGTGCAAAGGAGTTGTTTCCTGTGCTGACATACTAGCCTTTGCCGCAAGAGATAGCGTGGAGATTGTAATCATGCAAACCCCTTTGACTCTTTATATTTACCAACTTGAGCATAAGTTTATCAAGCTAGAGGCATTCTGTTTACTTTTTGTAGACGGGAGGCTTTGGGTACGATGTTCCTGCAGGAAGAAGAGATGGTAGAGTCTCTTTAGCTTCAGAGACTCTGACAAACTTACCTCCCCCGTCTTTCAATGTCGACCAACTCACACAAAACTTTGCCAACAAGGGTTTCACTCAACTAGAAATGGTCACGCTCTCCGGTAACTCTTCATTAGATCAGAACTCTCTGAAATTTTGGTTATTGAAGTCCAGATAAAGAATAGAGCATCAAAGCTTATGTAGGAAAGAGTAATATTAGAGGAAAAAAAAATGATTGTAGGGACTAAATAAAGGAAAAAATTATACATGATGCTAAGTCTTTTTTTGAAACCGGTGTTCTGGATTTCTGTAAACTTGGCCCATTATGTGTTGCAGCAAAGTTACATTCTTGTCTCCTCCCCAAAGTAATAATCACAAAAAGGAATTCATACATAATGAATAAACTTGCTTCACGTGTGTTACAGGAGCACATACAATCGGTCGGTCTCACTGCACTTCCTTCAACAATAGGCTGTACAGCTTCAATGCAACTGTGGACCAAGACCCGAGCTTGGACTCCAGATATGCAGCCATATTGAAGCAAAAGTGTCCACAAGGCAATGATCCGACCCTAGTTGTTCCAATGGACCCCCCTAGCCCGAACACGATGGACACAAGCTATTATCAGGGCATAATTGCGAATCGAGGCTTGTTCACATCGGACCAGACACTCCTCACAAACCCTACAACTGCAAACCAAGTTAATCAAAATGCAAGAAATCCATTCATTTGGAAGAACAATTTTGCTGCTGCAATGGTGAAGATGGGTAAAATCGGTGTCTTGATCGGAACTGCTGGGGAGATTCGAGCGAATTGCAGGGTCATAAATGGCTAGCTGAGAGAACATTAATACTGTGCAAGGCCGAAAGAGTTTTTGCTTCTATATTTTATGTGTTTTGTTTCTTGTATTCGTTAAAGTTGAAAAATAAATACACTTGTAAGGTTGTGAGACATTCAGATAATGAATGTGACCACTGTTCCTCTTTATTGTCTTTGACTACCAGATATGCACTTTTACGATACTCCAATAGCAGCTCGGTACCCAATCCTCTTTTTCAAGAGAGCGAGAACAATATCAAATTGATACAACAAAAATAAATAGAATAAGGAAAGTTGCGTTTGCCTTCATGCTTGAATGTGTAAGAAAGCACTAATATCTATGCAAGAATCTAATCGAATTTCCCTACGTTCATTAGTCATATGGTTATCCCCATTATCAAGAATTTCCGAATCAAGAAAAAGAAGAAAAGAGATAATATATATGTGCAACTCAAAATAGCTAAAACAATTCATATCAAGTTAGAATGTTAGTTTAAGAAAAGTTATTTGTACACGCCATGTGCACGTCATGTGCACGTTGCTTGCACCCATACACGTGCACTCGTATGTAGATGTGAAGTTGACTATTCATGTTTCAATGTCAATACAGTATCTTTCAAATTATATTAATCAAACAGCTCTATCTAGTTATTTAATGTGCTGGATAATACTACCTATAGAACATGTTTACGTAAATAAATGTGTAAAGACTTATATAAAGATATATGAGCTAGCAAAAACATGTAGTATTGAGATGAACTATACAGCAAGTCACTTAACTAGCCATATTGAAGCAACAGTGTCCACAAGGCAATGATCCGACCCTAGTTGTTCCAATGGACCCCCTAGCCCGAACACGATGGACACAAGCTATTATCAGGGCATAATTGCGAATCGAGGCTTGTTCACATCGGACCAGACACTCCTCACAAACCCTACAACTGCAAACCAAGTTAATCAAAATGCAAGAAATCCATTCATTTGGAAGAACAATTTTGCTGCTGCAATGGTGAAAAATGGTTAAAATCGGTGTCTTGACCGGAACTGCTGGGGAGATTCGAGCGAATTGCAGGGTCATCAATGGCTAGCTGAGAGAACATTAATACTGTGCAAGGCCGAAAGAGTTTTTGCTTCTATATTTTATGTGTTTTGTTTCTTGTATTCGTTAAAGTTGAAAAATAAATACCCTTGTAAGGTTGTGAGACATTCAGATAATGAATGTGACCACTGTTCCTCTTTATTGTCTTTGACTACCAGATATGCACTTTTACGATACTCCAATAGCAACTCGGTACCCAATCCTCTTTTTCAAGAGAGCGAGAACGATATCAAATTGACCCAACAAAAATAAATAGAATAAGGAAAGTTGCATTTGCCTTCATGCTTGAATGTGTAAGAAAGCACTAATATCTATGCAAGAATCTAATCGAATTTCCCTATGTTCATTAGTCATATGGTTATCCCCATTATCAAGAATTTCCTAATCAAGAAAAAGAAGAAAAGAGATAATATATATGTGCAACTCAAAACAGCCAAAACAATTCATATCAAGTTAGAATGTTAGTTTAAGAAAAGTTATTTGTACACGTCACGTGCACGTCATGTGCACGTTGCTTGCACCCATACACGTGCACTCGTATGTAGATGTGAAGTTGACTATTCATGTTTCAATGTCAATACAGTATCTTTCAAATTATATTAATCAAACAGCTCTATCTAGTTATTTAATGTGCTAGATAATACTACCTATAGAACATGTTTACGTAAATAAATGTGTAAAGACTTATATAAAGATATATGAGCTAGCAAAAACATGTAGTATTGAGATGAACTATACAGCAAGTCACTTAACTAGATGGCTGTTAATGCATTTTAACAAAGTTAAGAGATTTCGGCCATACATGATATGTTTATAATTCATCTACAAAAGGACAATCTCGATACCATGCTTTTTTCTTTTTCGGTTGATAGGAGGTGCTAGCTACAACGTTGCGGGGAACAAGCTTTGGAGGCTCTACCGAGCCTATCTGTTTCCTTGTTCAAGGTCCAACAACTTACACAGATCTAATGAAAAAGGATCTCACTCGGGATGAGATGGTCTCCCTGCCGCTAAGGATGAGGTCAGAAAAGCTTTCGTCAAGGACAAGGGTTTGGTTGCTGGTCTTGCGAGGATGCACTTTCATAATTGCTTGGTAGGTTAAAACCAATAATAATATCCCGTATGTGGTTGTAGCTTGAATTGCAACTTATGCTTTCATCGATGTCAACTGAGGGAGTTAACCAATTTCCCTTTTCTTTTGCTTTTTTTCTTTGACTTGGTTGCATTGTTGTATGCAGAATAATGTGTCGACTAAGAGTTTGCTAATTTGTTGCAGTTTACGGTACTCTACATGTGTGCCAGTCTCATATGTAAAACGTGAACTTGACTATACAGGCTTACATTTCAATGCAGTATCTTTGATTAATTTAACGAAATTGTCCTAATCTGATTAATAAATATGGCATGCTACTGATTATATCGCAAATTCGACCAGGAAAATTATGCATACAATTTTTAGAGTTTAATCGCTTAACTAGATGTGCCTAAATGCACTTAACAAGTTTAGAGATTTGAATTGTATATGATTTGTTCATTATTCATCTACTAAAAAGTGTCTCGTTAATCATGTGCCGTGTTGTAAATCTTGTTTAAATATACTCCTACTCAATGACCCTACAGAAGAAGTATCTTAGGGTTGTGATGGGTCCGTGTTCATCGACTCCACACCGTCAAACAATGACGAAAAGGATTCTCTAGCCAACAATCCTAGTCTGAGAGGATTCGAAGTAATCGACAGTGCCAAGGCTAGGCTCAAAGCTATGTGCAAAGGAGTTGTTTCCTGTGCTGGCATACTAGCCTTTGCAGCATAAGTTTATCACACTAATGAATATGAGGCATTCTGTTTTCTTTTTTTCAGATGGGAGGCTTTGGGTACGATGTTCCACAGGAAGATGAGTGTTAGTTTTAGAAAAGTTGTTTGTACACGCCACATGCACGTCATGTGCACGTTGCTTGCACCAATACGCATGTACGATGTGAAGTTGACTATTCATGTTTCAATGTCAATATCATTTCAAATTATATCAACGGAACAGCTCTATCTGGTTATTCATTCTTACATATCTAATGATTATGTCGTAAACACTGCCTATAGAACAAGTTCAACACATAGCTTTACGCAAATAAATCTATAAATACTTATATAAAGATATGTGGGCTAGCATAAACATGTAGTATTAACATAGAACGATATAGCATGTCACTTAACTAGATGGCTCTTAATGCATTTTAACAAAGTTAAGAGATTTCACTCATATATAATAAGTTTATAATTCATCTACAAAGGACTATCTTGATATCATGCTTCTTTCTTTTTCGGTAGATAGGAGATGCCAGCTACAAGGTTGCGGGGAAGAACATGTAGTTTCTAGAGCTTTGGAGAGTCTACTAAACCTACCTGTTTCGTTGCTTAAGGTCCAACAACTTAGACAAAGCTTTGGAGACTCTACTAAATCTACCTATTTCGTGGTTTAAGGTCAACAACTTACATAGATCTCAGTAAAAAAGATCTTACTCATAATGAGACCGGAAAATACCAAAAAAGTCATAAATCTATTATATTGGTTATTGCATTGGTACCAATTCAGTTCTAAATCTTTCAATTGAATCAATTTAGTTTTAAACATTTTCACATTTGTATTAATTCGGTCTTTCCGGCCAATTTAGGTTGGAAATCGTTGATGTGGACGCTGGCTATCCTACGTGGCACGGTCGTCGCTGACGTGAATATTTTTTACAATATTTTTATTATTTTATTTTATTTTTTATTATTTTATTATTTTTCTTTTTTCCTTCATTTGGCTAGCAAGGGTCACTGACGACTGGTCGAGCCGTGCCAATAATTTTTTTGAATTTTTTTACCCTTTCTTCCACTAGATGGAACAAAATTTAAAAAAATTACTTAAAAAATATTTACGTCAGCGCCAGCCGTGCCACGTAGGACAGATGGCATTCACGTTAGTAATTTCCGGCTTAAATTGGCTGGATAGATTCAATTGTTACTAATGTGACAAAACTTAAGATTAAACTGATCCAATTGAAAGGTTTAGGATTGAAATAGTACCAATGTAATAGGTTTATGACTTTTTTGGTTATTTTTCCCAAGAAGTTCGAGGTTACCATGGAGGGCAGTATCGGCGTCTTGGTGGGAAGCGCTGTGGATACGATAAAAGTGGTGAATAGGAAAATTATGACGTTGCATGCTTGGGAATTTAGCTTGATTCTCCTTTTATTTTATTTTTTAAGTTGGTTGGAGTTGTTGGTTAATCAAAAGTTCCACTTTCTATCTAATTACAAATGTCTTGGTCAATATTGAAAAATCAGTAATCGCTCTTTTGCTTTGTTCATGAATGTCAAAAGCAAAATTTATGTATTTAATTTTGCGATTCATTGTTTACAAAATCAGTCACATTATAATCAATTCATTTGAAAAAAACAAACAAGACTATAGTATGGCACACATAAAATGTCATTATTACTACGTGAGCGACACTTGACTAAACATTCATTCGCTTAGGTTATAATATTTATTTCACCATTTTCCTATTTCGTAGTGTTTACAATTAGTCAAGATTACATAATATAAAGTTCATTCGATGATTTGATAGATATTGCTGATAATACTTTTGGAGATATGCAAGACCAATTCCTTACCGAGTTTTTTATCCTGCTTTATGTTTTATGACAAGTTAACCAGCGTGAACTCATAATATATACTAGATTACCATATAAGCATCCTCTAAACCTTAATTAGTTATTAAGCATATTTAAATAGTTATGCTAACTTGATATATTAAAGGTGTTTATGTGCAATAACAAGGTCTTCGGTTTACCTGTGTTGCACCAGCATCATTCTAGTTATGGACGTTAAAGGGATTTCTCCTTAAAATTAATGTCTTTGGTTGTCTCTTTTAGGGAGCATTTATTTCAAAGAAAACTCGAGATAAGCAAAATACTTTTCCAAAAAAAAATTGTTTTGATCTCTTACAAAAATAAATGAATGAAAAAAAAAATTCATTATTCATGAAAATAATTAGACATATATTGTTATCAATAATAAAAATATTTTCCTTTGACAAATTTTTTTAAATGACATGACCAATCATCTTTTTTATAAATGTTTTCCAAATCTTGAGATTTTCATGAAACATTGGTACCCTTAGTTGCTATTAAGTTACTTAATAATTATTGTTGAGCAATAGATTACAAGAAACCAAGTGTGCAGAAAATAATAGTACTCATGATCAAAATTATAGATCAATTGAACAGACACCCTCGACATGGCCAACCACAAATTCAACAAGTCTCAACACATTCTAACCAAAACTTACCATATAAGTAATGAATACGTCCCCATTACAGAGCATCAGCGATTTCAAGAAAATAACTACAGAAAAGCTCAAGTAGTAAGCTCCATGATGGCACCCACAATGTCACCATTATGAGTCTTGAGAGCTTTCACTGCCTTGCTCTTAGATACCCCTGCCTGGGTCATGACCAAATCAATGTCACGAGGCTCGACCCCAGTCGCATCGACATCTTCTTCTTCATCCTCATCAGCCAGTGCACCCAAATCTGCAGCAGAAGCATCTGGTTTCGAAATAACCGATGACATATCCGGCATCCGGAACTGCTGAGCAGCTTGATTTTGCAGCTGAGAGCTCAAGTCCTCAATCTTTGCCTCCCCAAATATGACATAGGTCTCGGAGTGAGGACTCTTGAAGACATCAGGCTTTGAAATGAAGAACAGTATCTGGAGAACCAGAGAACACTATTCATACGAGTCCATAATTAAGTTAATAACAATTAAAAGAAGGGGCAAATAACTTACGTTTTTAGTTCTTTTGATGGTGACCCGGCTAACACCTGTGATAGGTTTCATTCCCAGCTTTAACATTGCCTTCCGGCTTTTCTTCTCACTTCTGCTCTGCTTCGAGCTCCCATTTGCACCTGCACCATACAAATCATGATCCAAGTTTTGAAAGTGAACTCAAACGATCCATTAATCCATCTACCACTGGCGGAAGAAAGCAAACAGGTAATCGAGGTGTCTGCCAAGTAGGAAAAAACTTGAACATCGACACAATCGCAGGATTTCTAAACTAAGTTTCAGAAAACAGGAAATCCATCAGAACAGATACCCAACAAGGCCCAACCCACATTTCAACTGATACCCAATATTGTTAGACCACTTAAAAGTACATGAAAAAAGAGTTGCTACCATCGTGCCTTATTCAATTCAAAGGATGTTTCCAATACAAGATCATGTCCCTTATAAAATGATCCTAAAGTTTCAACTGAATATAACAGTGATACTAGACTAAAATTCCTATGTTCCCTAATGGCAGGGTGAAAAAATGACAGCACTAATGTAACACTGACTCAGGAGATAGATTAAAAGAAGAAAAAAGAATAGAAAAGACCGGCATATCTGCAAAATGGAAAAAAATGATGAGGAAATGTCTCGCAGATCGACATATTAAAAAGCAGTTCCCCGAATGCGATTCTCCGGTAATATTCTATTCGACGGGGGAAAAACAAAAGACCACACTCTAGCTTAATCTGCCAACTTCATAGAGGCAATCGACCAACAAAACGGCAAAGCTTGGTTCTATCCTACCAAGAACAACCACTGTAGCTCCAACTACCCCTTAAGTCGAATTAGTCTTTACCAAAAGACTCCATTTTAGTGGGTGCTCAAAGATTCGATAATTCACTGCTAAAATTACATGACTCGAGCAAGAGGAGACAGTAAGCGGGTTCATTCTATCTACTCCAATAAGTCCCCATTAATCCAGTGACAAAAAGGACTAACAAGGGAACTCCCAAATTCCATAGAAATGAATGCCCAGATTCGCAAGTCAGCAGCTTTTGCCCTGAAACCTCATAAACATCCAACGGCAGACAAATAGCACAGCAACAGGTAAAGCTCTACATCGACGACCAAGGACAAGGGCGAAGGCAAAGAAGGGAGAAACAACCGACCCGCAGTTCCATCTTCCTTGTCGTCGTCGTCGTCCTCATCGTCGTCCTCGTCGTCCTCGTCCTTGTCGTCGTCCTTCACGTCCTCAACGGTGGGCTCGTCGCCCTGCAACAATCAAACCCACCCACCCCCTAGTTACAGAACCCTGAACGCACGCGCAAAGAAAGGGAGAAAAAAAAAAGTGGGAACTCGATGAGCGAACACGACGACACCCGCCTGAGCAATCTTCTTGAGCTCCTCCGCGGGATCGACCTGCTCCTGCTCCTTCTCGGGCACGACGGGATCGACGACCGGAGCAGGCGACATCTGCGCTGGGTGCTGGCGGATTCGGCGGACGGCGGGCTAGCGAGCGGCGAAGGGTCGCAGAAGAAACGGGAACGGCGGCTGCTGCTGCTGCTGCTTCGATGGCGTGCGTCAGTGAGGGACGGGGGGATGATAAGGGTTTTCGCCGCAACCTAAAATGGGCCTCCTTTTGCAGCCCATCGGGCTCAATCTGATCCGTTCCTCGACGGTTCTTACGGACAAGATCATCGTTAGCCCATTGGGCTTGGGCCCATGCAACGGGGGGGCATTTGGTAATTTATGGGCTCTAAAAATTGTCGAAAAATGAATTTCGCGTCACAAGAAAGGTGGCCGGCAGGGATAAAAAAAAGAAAATAACAAAATAAATAACAAAATAAATAAAATAATAAAAATAATAAAATTGTCCAATTTTCGGCCAACATTAGCAAGATAGACTCAATTGGCAAAACGTGAAAAGGTTTAGGGCTCAATCAATTGAGACAATTAAAAGGTGTATGACTGAATTAACAAAATTGTAATAGGTTTAGGACTGTTTGAACAATTTTCCCCAAGATGTTGCAACGGTACTAGTTTTGGTAAAATAGATAATTTGTGTTAGTCGTCTTCAGAGAGATTGAAATAACTGGTGATGGTAATAGAACATACAAATCGCCCGAAACCCAGTTTCACAGCACAAGAACTTATTAATTTCCCCATTCTTGTGTTTCCTGACTATTGAATTGGGTCATTCGCCTTTCAACTTGTAGGTATTACTTGAAAGATGCGATTCTCAATGGCGGAATCTGGTTCGACAAGGCAATACCGGATGACCGCATTCGAGTATCAAGGCGCCGATCTGCAATTCAGCAAGATCTTCAATTAGGCAATGTCTTATCGATCCACCATTACGATGAACAAGATACCGGAAATGTACAACGGTTCCAAGGGCCTCAAGATGGTGATCGATGTTGGAGGCGGCACCTAGGCCGTGGTCGGCATGATCGTCGCCAGATACCTGTCGATTAGAGGCATCAACTTCGAAATAGGTGCACAAGGGCTACATCGATCTCCTTCCACATTTAAACAAAGCCGTATCTTTGCCCCCCTCTTCTTTATATTACATTTCCTCTGCTTTCCTTCTTCAATTCTCATTGAAGAAAGGAAAAGGAAAACAGTAAAAAGAAAAAAAAAGGGTTCAGCAAGATCCGAGACCCAGACGACGCCGACCCAAGTCTCGGACGAGGAGGCGAACCTCTTCGCCATGCAGCTGGCGAGCGCGCCCGTTCTCCCTTCAATTTCAGCTGGAAGTTGTTTGCTCGATTACTTCAGTTTCTGCTTGGAGTTGGCTTTGTTCGCCTTCTTCGGTGGTTTGTTCCTCTTGTTACTCTTTCTTTCTTCTCCTCTTTTTAAATTGCTTGTGCTCCTTTCAAATTATCCTCAATCCTTGAATAGTCTGGTCAGTCATCCGTAATCACTAATCAGTACCTTTTACCACTGAGGCTACTTATGTATCAACTGTAAGACGCGATTAATAGTAGCATAAAGGTGTCGTGGTGTGGTATATACTCATATCCGACAATAAAGCAAGGGTTTCGGGGGCCACCCCAGTGGGGTTCATAGGGGGCAGCGCCCCCGCAAAGCCCTAATTTTTATATTTTGAGCTTGTATTTTATTAATAGTTTGAGCTTAAGCCCATGAATAGTTACTGTTACATATATATATTTATTTATTTTTATTTTCTTTATCTTGTAATTAGGGGATATAACGTAGAGGTGCAAGGTGCCAATTATAGTGAAACCCTCTACTGAACGTAACCCTAATTTAAGGGTGAACCAAGATAAAAATCTTGTGTCATGATTTTCTTTTCTCGCTTTTACTCTCTAATTCCATGTGATTATGCATTGAATCCTCACAAAAGGAAGCTTTCAATTCACCGCAGATTATTCTAAGCCAAGATCTGAGCCGACTATCACGAATCAATTATTAAATTAGCACCAGCTCATTAACCACTCACCGATTAGAAGCACCTCTAGATTTGGACTAGATTTGAGACCGAATATAAGTTCCAATTAACTAAGAGTATCGAACTAAACCAAACATATTAGACATCACGGTCCAATGCTCCAACAAACTAATGGATTAACTATTCCTTGCACACCACAGCAAAGTTTGATGACGGGTAAATATCAATGCACCTCATAAATGGCGTAGCATCCCATTGCACTTCTCGAACGTGAAAACCAACAAGGGTGTTTACTTACTTGGTTGAGGCAGCGGCGATTTGCGGCGGACAGGGACGCACGCTCCAGCGACTCTGTTATCGAATCTTTACCGCACATATCGAGCCCATCGCATTCCAGATATGCGTGGTCGTTGGTGTGGCTGCTCAGTGATGGCTCGACATGACATACCAAAAACGAAGCAATGCAGAACTCGAGAGATAAATCTAGGAGGAGTCTAAACCAATTATTCTAAGGACTATTCGGAAAGGGACGACCCGGCAGACGTGGTGGCGCGCAAGGTTCCTCGAGGAAGACCCTGAAGTGATGGCGAACGATCTCGAGCCCTTCCCTATTTGCTGAGAATTTGTATAGAGTGTGCCGAGGATTCCGGAGCCCTCTCTTCCGCCTCCGTTCTTTTTTCCTCGTCCTCACGAATGTGTGAATCTTGACCAAGTGCATGGCTGCATTCCTCTGCTCCCCCCTGTTTTCTGACACCTTTTTCGTTTTTCTTTCTTTGTTCCATTGTTTCTTCAACTGACTGAACACGCCACTCTCTCAGTATTGCTTGCTCTGTTTTACTTTCTTCTTTATTCCATGCCCTTGTCCTGAACCCGATCTGGACGATGATGATGATGATTGCCATGCCCATGTTGATGCACGAGAGTTATCCAGTGGGTTTGCAAATTTTGCAGCTTTTTTTTTCCTTTAGATAATATAACCCAAAGCTACAACCAATCATCTTGAAGATGAGAGCATGTTGCTAAGGTAAACATTGTCGGACAAGATAATCCATTAGAAAGGGTATGTAAGGAATGCCATTTGGATGGAGGTCGGAATAAAAGGACTAGGGCGGTTCACAGGAATTCGCAATTTCGCCGTAAGTCGGATGATGATTCTCAAAAGATATGCTCATTCTCTAATGTGAAAAGATGCAACAAAGGATGAATATGCAGGACTCCGCAGTGTTGATATCTTTTGTTAGAGGTCAAACTCTATTGCTGTCGTCGGATTCGATCCCTGATTTTTATAAAATGTATGAAAAAACTCTGGGCGAACAATTTAAGTGTCAACAGGAGTCGGAATAATAGGAAGAAATTCATCACTGACTCGGGTCGGACGCAACAGCCACAAAAAAGCAGGAGATAAGATCCACCTGATCAACGCGTAGAAGTAAGGGGGAGACAAAATAATGCCTGTTTGCAATTGAATGCTCATAAAATGTGGGGACCGTACCATGCCTGAGAAAATTCGAAACTTGCCTCAATAAATAAGTAAGCTATGGTCGATGAAAAATGAATGGGGGGTTTAAGATTTTGCTGGTGTCCTTGTAGACCCAGCAGCCCAGGCTTTTGCCCTCTTTTCATTCCATTTCTTCTGCTTTCCATCCCTCAATACTCGTCGAAGGAAAGAAAAGGAAAATAAAAAAAATCGGTTCAGCAGGATCTGAGACCCGCATGACGACCCCGACCCAAGTCTCGGACGAGGAGGCGAACCTCTTCGCCATGCAGCTGGTGACCGCGTCTGTTCTCCCCATGGTCATCAACGCCGCCATCAAGCTCGAGCTCCTGGAGATCATGGCCAAGGCTGGACCGGTTGCTTACCTTTCCCCACGTGAAATTGCATCCCAGCTGCCAACCCAGAACCGTGACGCCCCGGTCATGCTTGACCGGATCTTCCGGCTGCTGGCTAGCTATTCCGTGCTCACGTGCACCCTTCGCGACCTCCCTGACAGCAAGGTCGAGCGGCTTTACGGTTTAGCTCCGGTGTGCAAGTTCTTGGTCAAGAAAGAGGATGGGGTCTCTATTGCCCCACTCAACTTGATGAACCAGGACAAAGTCCTCATGGAAAGCTGGTATACTTTGTTTTCTGAAACCCTTTTCCTCCTTTTTCTCTTTTTCTTTGGGATTGTTTTCAGGATTCATCCTTAATGCCAGTCATATTAAGATCAATTGTACACAACAAATTGAAGTAATAGGTGACCGTAATCCAACGTCTGAATCACCCGAAATCTCCTCCCAGTTTCACAGCTCAAGAACTTATTAACTCCCCATTATTGTGTTCCCTGAGTATTGAATCGGATTGTTTGCTTTTTAACTTGCAGGTATTACTTAAAAGATGCGATTCTCGAAGGCGGAATCCCATTCAACAAGGCACACCGGATGACTGCATTCGAGTATCAACACGCCGACCCGCAATTCAACAAGATCTTCAACCAGGCAATGTCTGATCATTCCACCATTACGATGAAGAAGAAACTGGAAACGTACAGCGGTTTCAAGGGCCTCAAGACGGTGGTCAATGTTGGAGGCGGCACCGGGGCCGTGCTTGGCATAATCGTCGCCAAATACCCATCAATTAAAGGCATCAACTTCGACTTGCCTCGCGTGATTAAAGATGCTCTGTCCTATCCCGGTATATAATGTGTATCGTTCACTAGCTCTTCGAGATTAGGTGTAATATCCTAGATACTTGAGAGCAACCAAAGATCCAGTAACAGTTTCGTATCTCACGTTCAATTCATTGTCCCTTAACTGATATAAATCACCTTGCTGAAAAGAACACAAAAAATCTGATGCCAGGATTAATGTAGGTGTCGAGCACGTGGGAGGCGACATGTTCGTCAGCGTTCCAAAGGGAGATGCCATTTTCATGAAGGTCAGAATGATGTCTCTGTTCCTGACGTTGAAATTTTCAGGAAGTACTAGGACAAGGCTTCTTGTTGTTTCCCTAGTTTTATTTTTGTCTCTCGTCAAGGCCAAAAGGTAGTTACTGATTAGAGCAAGTACGGATTGCTTCATATAAGGCATGTTACATTCTTGCAGTGGATATGCCATGATTGGAGCGATGAACGTTGCGCGAAACTCCTCGAGAACTGCTACTTCCGGTAAACGGGAGGGTGATCCTTGCAGAATACA